GTTAGCACTAACACACTATTAGAAATTCAGTGAGGGCACTAACAGGAACTGGTAATGTTCTAGCAGTGTCTTTGTTTGAGTGTTCACATTTATGGCTGAACTGAAGGCCACAGTTCTACATGTGGATACAGACAACATACACAGCATAAGCAGAATACACATATAACTGCATCGAACTGTGAATATAGCACATGTCTGAATACAGTTTGATCAAGGATGGGTGAACATTGCTCTTTTATCTTGCTGTGCTCTAAAAATTTCTACCAAATGGCCAAACCAGGTGTGCAACTTGAAACTAAAAGACTGCAGGAACAAGACGAGTTGTTCTTACTCATCCAGGCATCATTGGGCAAATAAGACACATTAATTCCACTCTATGGGATGTTCTTTTTTGCCAATCTCCCAGTGTACCTAGAGGCTGGGGATTTCCTGAAATGATAAACACCTGTAACTTTTAAAATGTGTTGCTGATTAAAGCCCTTATTTTGGACTCCCCAATCTGACACTGATATGTTTCCGTAGCTGATGGCAAATTAAGTCTGCCGCTGCCTTTGTTTACATTGCATCCACAGAAAGACATGTAAGAACTCATGGCCTTCGACAGCACACTCGCCTCGCGCACAAGTCAGCGCCTGTTAAACATGCTGTGTATCAGATTAAAAGCTCCAAATCAAATCATATCGTAAATCACGGCTTTCATTCCAGATGCTGTTATTATTTCCACTTTCACATGTTCTGTTCATGGTACCGCGGACAAACAGTGCATTCCCAGGTACGTCTCAAACAGCTGACAAAGCTGAATTTACACTCCGGACGTTCCACTGTCTGGCCACTCTGAGGTCCAGCTACCTCACGGGTCCACCGTATGGGTGTACGCACTTACAGATCACAGCCCTGTTGTAATGCAGTGTGTCAGCGCCATTAATCATTGGTTAGTTTCTCAACAAAAGGACTGATGTTGACCAGATATTATTTGGGTGGTGAACCATTCCCAGCAGTGAACACACTGCACTGATTTTTACCCCAGTTAGTGTCGCTGGCAGGTTGAGAGTGGTCCTTTCTCCACGCATATCCAGCTGGTTCTTGGTTCAGAAACTGACCACTAGAGTCTCGAGGATGGTTGCCACAAACTGTGTATATAAAGACAGGCTACAGTCTCTAATGGCAGTTTTACATTAGGGTAGAAAAACCAGCTTAGACAAGCATAGCTGGTCACCAGCAAAGCCAGCATGTGTTTTTTGACAGGGATAATATGTTGTTTTGGATGCTGGTCAGCAGCAATGGATAACTAAAACTAGCACATTGACGCTGATGGACGAAAAGCTTTAACATTCAACATAAGTTAAGGTAAAAAGACTTTATTCCAAACTATTTTGGACTATTTTCTGGGCCCACTCAATCATAAAACTTTTACACAATGTAAAGGGCAGCTGGTGTTTTCAAACTATGCTGAAAAATGAAAAGTTATATACTGATCACCGCCGGGCAGCACGGTGGCGCTGTCGCCTCACAGCAAGAAGGGCCTGGGTTCGATTCCCGGGCAGGCGACCAGGGTCCTCCCTGTGTCTGCATGCGTGTGAATGTGTGTGAGTGTATATGTCTGTCTGTCTGCCATATCCTGCCTTCTGCCCAATGACAGCTGGGATAGGCTCCAGCTCCCCCCCACGACCCAGAAGGATAAGCAGTTTAGAACGTGTGTGTGTGTGTTTTTTGTGATCTGTTGTGTTTTGGATGCTGGTCAACCAGCATACCAAATCCCTTATCATGCATTTTGTGGTCAATTGTGATTTAGTAAAATACACTTGAGTAATTGTGAATGTTAATGGTGCAAACCACTAATTGGCCAAATGCAATCATCACAGACAGAGTCAGATGACCAGCATTAAAAATTAACAACAGTACAAATTAAAAACAAAAGTAAAAGGCAAACAAATGAAAACACAACTAGCTAGTCAGTCTGTGACTCGCATACAAACAAACCTCGAGAAAAAGGTAAAGCAGAAGCCTTGAAGCTCCTGTGTTGTTGCTACTGTTAGTGTTCACTGTTAATGCTAGATTCACATGAGAAATCAAGTGACCACACTAAAGAGAACGCCTACTCGGCCATGGTATGGAGAATTGTGGGTTGGTATTTGTAATCATACTGTGCTGTACTTTACTGTTTATGGACAGTCATGTGTGGAAAAACACAACAGTACATCGACAAGAGAAAGGTTTCTAATAAAGTGGCCAGGGACTGTGTAGGGTCCTACAGATGAGGTGACCGAAGCCTCGCTGGATTGTTTTAGCTTGTTAGGATTCATATCATGGAAATCCAGTTTTTCCTCACAGAAGAGTCTGATAAAAGTTTCTGAATGTATTTTTGACCACAGTCAAATTGTGAAAACTAAACCGCAAAAAAGTCCATTTTAAATTCATGATTTTAAACAGTACATTTAGATTAATCAACCTACAGTTTAGCTTCACCCATTCACACTGAAGTTCTAAGGAACGTTGCAGCCTGGGCTCCTTTTTGAATGAGGCACAATACAAGACAGTCAATCAGAGAAGAGTTTATTTACATATATCAGTCTTAAAGGCACAGTAACAAAAACAGCCTGTTTAGTTTGAAAGGATAAAAGAGGTCATACAGGAGTGAATACTGCCTGTTTTTGGTACATAACCCCACACCAACAAAAAGTACAAGAAAAATGTGGATATTGGCCTTTTATAAGCTCTGCACTGTAAAATCCCCAGAGTTGTATTATCTCTTATAGTGTTTGTGTGTCCAACTGGACTTAAAGGGGACTTTGAATGAGTTTTCAAAAATATCTGCATAATTAAATCTATTAAGAGGTAAAGAGTCATTCAGAGTGTTTTGATGTCAAACGCTCTGTTCTAGAGAAACTTGCAGAGTCAGAATTGTTCACAGTGGTGGTGATGGGAACCAGACGTCTGAGGAGTTTAATGCCTCTAAAGGCCAACTTTCACACAAAGTTATTACATCCAGTGGTTATGAATGCCGTCTCTGATGCCTGGATGCCGAGATCAGCTCGAGGCCTAAAACATTTTTTATAAAAACCTGTTCATGGTGGTACATGCATGGCAAAAAAGCCCCAAAAAAAGCTAATTTCTTCAGATTTCCCACTATTTTACCAATATCTTACATATAAGAACTCAGAAGACACGTAAATTCACTGCTCATTCTTGAACGTAAGTAAAGTGTCTATATTTGTATTGTAGATTTCTCCCCTGGTTCCTTTCACCACGACTGTAATGAAATCTTGTGTTGTAAGTTTCTCTACAATGAACAATAAATTTCAATTTACATTTCAGTATTAAAAAGACTCGGTGGAGTTCCCCTTTAACCAACACTGGGTGTTGATTCAGCCTTACAGATGTTAATTCAGCACTGTAGGCCCACTGGAGACCCAGACACTTGCGTTTGTGGTAAAGCAATGCTGTCTCTTATTTCAGGTGAGGTTTTTTTTTTTCCACATTTTATGAAATTCCGTCTGCTCCCCTCCTCCAGACATTCCCTGTACCGGTCAACTTTAATCAAATACGCCATCAGCATTATTATTTTTCCTCTTCCCTGCTTTCTTCTAAGCCTGCAGTCTAGCAGCTGCTTTAAAGCTCCACTGCTACTGCAGACACGGAGCACCTGCTTCACTCTTCAGGCGGGAGGTGGGGATTTCAGGAAAAGTTCAACCCGAGCTGAGAGTGGAGCTAAAAGCAGACTCTGTTACAGAGCTGCTCACCTCTGCAGAGCTTCAGCCAAAGGTGTGATCTGGAGGAGGGAGCGGTGAAACGGTGGAGCAGCTTTTTAGCCTAGTTTTCAGTGTTTTTAGCCTTTGCATCATTTCATGATCTCGTTTTTTCCCTTTAGCCGTCTACTACGCTCTTGCGTTTTTATTTTCGTGGTCATTTTTGCTTCACATGTCCAAAAGTTTCTTTCCATCTCGCTTCATTTCAGACATCACAGTGTTTTTTTGTAGTGTTCAGATTTTTTTGTCTGCAGATTTTTCCCCATTTTCCAGCCAGTATTTTTTTTTTTAGTCTTCATATCGGCTGTTTGTGTTTGTTTTTTTTTGTGTTTTTACATATCTAACTCGAGTTACCCTCGTCATCATTTGGGTAGTCTTTATTTCAGATAAACAGACACCCATTTTTTCCCCTTTTTGTATTCAGAAATCATGTTTGTGTTCGTTTTTTGGTAGTTTTCACACGTCTACAACCGTTTAATTAATTACTTGTCATTTTTTTTGGTCTGCAGTTTTGGGTGGTCTTCACTTAAGATTCCCACTCATTTTTTCCCTCTTGTAGTTTGTGTTTTTGCCTTTTCTTCACTTTTGATATGTTTGGTACTCTTTTCTTTTTTGGTACCCCATATTAACGTTTTTTATGAATTTATTTATTTTGGTCTGCAGTTGTGGGCAGTCTTCACTTAGAGATCCCCACGTTTTTTTTTTTGTTGTTTTTTTTTTGCTACTTTTCACATTTGTACCCCAAATTAACGTTTTTATTTATTTATTTAGGGCTGCAGTTTTTTTTCTCTAGCCTTTCCTTCAGATTTCCACCAATTCCCCCCATTTGTACTCAGATATCGTCTGTTTGTGTTCGTTTTTTTCATTTCTTCACTTTAGATATCACGTTTCTTTGCTACTTTTCACATTTCCACGACCGTTTTTTATGAATTTATTTATTATTTATTTTGGTCTGCAGTTTGGGTTTGTCTTCACTTAGGGATCTTTTCACATATGTACCCCATATTCACACTTGGCTAGTCTTCACTTCAGATTTCCACCCATTTTTCCCTCTTGTAGTTCGTGTTTTTGCGTTTTCTTCACTTCAGATCTCGCGTTTCTGTGGTAGTTTCAACAAATCCACCAGGCGTTTCTTAGGAATTTATTGTTTGTTTGTTTGTTTTGGTCTGCAGTTGTGGGCGCTCTTCACTTCGAGATCCCCCCAGTTTTGTTTTGTTTTTTTTTTCCTTTGGTACTTTTCACGTTTGTACCCACTGCGGTAGTTCTCAGTTCAGAAATCCACGTTTTTTTTTCTCCACTTCACATATCCGCCCCGTGTTTTTTCCCCTTCTCCCTCTCCGCTCCATCACGCCTCCGTTCCTCCGGTCGCTCTGCACTCCCTCACTCTCTCTCTCCCTGCTCCTGCAGCCTGTGGTCAGCCCGCAGTGCGCGAGCGGGACAGCAGAGCTGCAGCTGAGACGCGCTTCGCCTCCACTCACACACACTGATGCGTGCAGCTGAGGGGGATGCCAGCCAGGCGGGGCCCGCCTTTCACTCTCCCATTAGATAATGCTCGACCGGCGGCTATATAAGCGGCGCAGTCAGCCTCCGAAGAGCCACATTAGCGAGTGATGAATAGCGCCGGACGGCTGGGGTGACCTGAGTTTCCTGAGGCGCGGGGGGCGGGCGCTGAAGCGAGCGCGTGTCCTCGGGATATTCTGCATGGGTCTGAGTGCGCGAGCGAAGAGTCCCGAGTCCTTCAGAGTCTCCGCACTTCTCCCGGTTCTGTGAGTGAGCGAGTCGCTCCGCGGCCATGGCGGAGGTCGGCGGCGTCCTGGGCTCCATTGATCTGGATTTACAGAGCTTCCCCGCCTTCGGGAATATCCCCCTGTCGGACTCCCCGGCCGGCCTGAACGAGCGCCTGGGGCTGATCGAGGGGCGCCTGCAGCGCGGCTCCCTGCCCGACTTCGACCACCTGAAGGGCATCCTGCGCCGCAGGCAGCTGTACTGCCGCACGGGCTTCCAGCTGGAGATCTTCCCCAACGGCACGGTGCACGGGACGAGGCAGGACCACAGCAGATTCGGTGAGGCGCGCCGCCGCTCGCGCACGTTCGGGCACTTTAGGAGCGCGTTCCGTTTCGGTCAGGAGGCTAACTTTCTTATTAACATCACTTCCCTTACAGCGCACACTCTCAAAGACGGGGTTCCTTAGCAAAGACGAGGGTTCTATACGGAACCATGAACACTCAGGGCTTAGTTGGTTCTGTGCATGGTGAAAAGTTCCGCAAACTGATGGAGAACGTGTCCTATATAGTCCTATATAGCACCAAAAAGGATTCTGCTGCTACAGTGTCAAGCTTTTTGGTGCTAAACAGAACGATTTTCAAAAAGGTTCCATATAGAACCATAAACAACAAACTCTCCATCAGTCTGAAGAACATTCACCATGCAAATGGCTTCTTTGAATGTTCATGGTTCTATATTGATCCACTGTCTTTGCTAAAGAACCCTTGGAGAACCTCCTTTTACTAAGTGCTCTGCCAAAAGGTGGAGATCTTTTATGGGTTTATGGGTTAGAAACTTCAGATTTACACAGCAGGTTCAGGTTTGTACATGAAGATCTGGTTTATTTAGCTTATGGATCAGAAGAGATTTAAATGCCAGGTTTGTATGTACGAATCAAGTTTATACGTCAGGATCAACAGGTTCATAATCAGATCTGTAGTTCAGAGTCTGATCAAGACTGTATATTAGGATCTCCCGGTTTATATCTTGTTTGTAGACCAGAATATTCAGCTTTATATGTTACACATACAACATGTAAATGAAGATCAAGTGCATATGTAGGTTTTTTGATCAGAATTGTTGGGTTTTGTAGATCAGAGTCTCTGGGTCGGTTTGCCAGGCAGGTATTGAGTCTAGGCTTGGACTCACCAACCCATGAAGTCTATATCACCATCTCATTTTGCTACACCGAAACCCTCAGGTTATAAAACAGGTGGTGATACGAAGCTCTTTGAACGTAGGTTTATCAGGATAGTTGGGTTTATGTAATCAGATTTGTAGTTCAGAGTCTGATCACGTCTGTATATTTGGATCTCCTGGTTTATAGACCAGAATAGACTTATCAGGTATACCAGAATATTCAGGTTTACATGTTACACAGATGTAAATTAAGATCAAGTGTATATGTAGGGTTTTTTATCCAAATTGTTGGGTTTGTATGGTTTATAGGTTTGTAGATCAGAGTATTGGGGTCAGTTTCCCCAGACAGGGATTAAGCCTAGGCTTGGACATGTAAATTCTTCATTTATAGGAAAGTGTAGTCCAGGACTTTGTGTTATCCTGTCTGGAAAACCAACCCATTAAGTTTATATCACCATCTCATTTTGCTACACCAAAACCTTCAGGTTTATAAAATACACGTGACAATTCAAAGCTCTTTGAACGTAGGTTTATCAGGATAGTTGGGTTTATTTAATCAGATTCGTAGTTCAGAGTCTGATCACGTCTGTAATATTAGGATCTCCTGGTTTATAGACCAGAATAGATTTATTTATCAGATATACCAGAATATTCAGGTTAACATGTTATACATACAAGTAAATTAAGATCAAATGTACATGTAGGATTTTTTAATCCAAATTGTTGGGTTTGTAGGTTTTATAGGTTTGTAGATCAGAGTCTTGGGGTCAGTTTCCCAGACAGGGATTAAGCCTAGGCTTGGACTCGGCCTTCTGCATGTAAATTCTTCATTGTGTAGTCCAGGACTTTGTTATCCTGTCTGAAAAACCAACCCATTCATTTTATTTTAGGTTTGTATGTCAGGTTTATGTCTTTCACAAAAGATCACTATCTCGTTTTGCTACACCAAAATCTTCAGGTTTATAAAATACATGCAGCAATTCAAAGCTCTTCCAATGTGGGCTTATCAGGATTGTGTTGGGTTTATATATCAGGTTTGTTAAGGATGCTTGGAAGATAAACGGAGAATCATAAATTCTCCATTTATGATGCCCCACTTCCATAATAGTGGTTATAAAGGCTGAGCTCGCATTGCAGGACTGAGCCCTACCCCACTGTAAACCAGGAATGAGGCTGTGAGGAGAAGCAGGTGTCTCTATCGCTGGTCCAAAGCAAGCAACGTCAGACTGTTTCTTCTGTTCAAACGTCTTCAAAGTACCCGAGCGCACACACGCTATACTAATTATACCATTAATATAAATCATTCATAGGGTGGTTAGCATTAGGAGCGGTAAACACATGAGGTCAGGGCGCAGCCATGCGAGGCTGAGCGTTTCTGTTATCCATAGTCATCCTGCAGGTGCAGTCTTGCTTGGGGAAAGGCTGGAATAACTCTAAATTAAAGCATGACCACTGTGGAATCCAAAGAAGTTTAATGCTCGTTTTTTCAGCCAAAAACAAGCGGTTTTACTGGATTGGGTGGTCCAAGCATGTTTCTGGCACCTCCCCCCTCCACACACGCGCAAATTCAAGGCAGACATTGGTCTGATGGCTTTCATTAAAACGAAGTGCAGTTCTTGCTGCAGCATCGAGAACTGCTGTGATGTCTTCTTACGTTGGTGCCACGACACCTGATCCAGGTGCATCTCCAACGCTTCATCATTGGCGTTGTGCAGTTTATGATTTGACCAGTGCAATTTCTGACCATGAGGTGCGAATACAGGTCAGACAAGTCTAGCAAGGAGCTCAGAAGTGATTAGTGGTTCCTAACGAGGGTTTTAGACTGAAAGAAAGCAAGAAACTTCTCTTCAACTCCAGGCAAGCAGCCTAGAGCAAAGGATTCAAGAGTTTTAGACAATGTACCACCCAACACAAACATTCAAAAGAGAGAACATGATGTGATCAGCATGTCATCCATATCTGCAAGATTTACAATTTACTGTTGACCATGTCCATTTCACACCCTGTCCACGTGGCCAAGATTGTAAATACATCTTCAGTGGCAAAAGTATCTGGTAAATGTCTCATCAGTTTTTCTATGGCAGGTATCCTGGAGTTCATCAGTCTGGCCGTGGGACTGGTCAGCATAAGAGGCGTGGATGCTGGCCTTTACCTGGGAATGAATGAAAAAGGAGAGCTCTATGGGTCGGTAAGTCAAACCCATGTTGTCGGATGTCCACATGCACATTGCACCCATTATCACTCCACATTAGAACCTGTACACCAGCCAGCTGTGCCACTGTAGTGTTAAAAGGATAGCAATCCTATCTCCAGACAAAACACCAGACCAATGTTTCCACTGCTGCATAGCTCAACCATCCGTTTGACCTCAGACCTGCTAAACAGCACAGGAACAGCAACAGTGGGGGCCCCTGAGAGCCGTCTGGGTTACCTTGTTTTTGTCTTCTGAGCTTGAGGAAGACACGAGGGGGGAAAAATCCTCTGAGAAAGCACCCTAAATCCTAAATTAGAAGGACTGCCTCTTCATTTTGCTCCATAGTCATCAAAATATTTACATATTTCTTAGATACACATGAAGCGTGTAGAGTACACACACATATTGGGGATATATGGCCCGTGAGTGCTCTTGGTTTCTTGTATACTCCTGCGCAGTCACACGGGGAGAGATGCTTTACTTTGGTTGAGTGCTCAAACAGTAACATAGACCAGGATGTGCGAGGAATTAACTTACTTTTTGTGTGAGCATGTGCACAGAGCACCGTTTATAGATAGTGTTCTCAGCCCCCCCCCCACACACTGCGGCCACGACTGGGGGAGATGCATGCTATCAGGTTTCGGCGGACAATAACCCGGGGCCCTCGCCAAGCGTCTGCGGATCTTAAGAGTCAGAATAAGCTTATTACAGGCAGGGAGGGGAAAAATGACTTCACATGTAACGTGATAACATCCTATTAAAATCACAGAGCACCGCAGGCTCGGGTCAACGTGCAATCACTCTGCAGAATCAGCTGACACGCTGGCTGGAGGTGTCTGGAGATTGATGCCTGTGTTCATCAACCAGGGGCCAGTGCAAGGCAAACGTCCAGCAACTGTAAAAGAACACAAAAATGCTAATGTGGCTACCAATGAATAAAAGCTGGCCAGGTCATGTTATATGAAAACGAGGTGGGGCCAGTTAGGATCTAGCTTTCATCTATTCTTCGCAATGGTAGCATTTTTGGGTCCAACCTTGAAGGAATTCATTGGGACCCTTTTCTAGCAGTCAGAATTAGCATCTCCTATGCCAAGTCATGTGCACTGAGCTGTATTTTACTGCAAAATAGTCCACAGTTGCACAGCAGGAGTCTAGATCCCCGCTACTTAATTGACAGAAGTGTTACTGAAATAAAATCCAAGATTTTATGTGTTTGGGCGGGGACTTTGGTTGGGGTTAGACTGCTCCTTGACAGGGCCATTCCAAGTCAGAAAACAAATGATCACAGAACACTGTTATTGGACAGTGTAATTAAAAAGTCATATATTAATTATTTGCACCTCTACTGTGTTTATCCTGGCCTACCTTTGACCAACTCGCTCGGCCAAGCATTTAAATCAGTTTTTCAAGGGACTTTTAAGGCAAGCTTTATCTTAAAACCTTCAGCCATCTTAGTCAGTCTAAATGAACTGCTTTGACACCAAGACTTGAGCCCGAGCCATCGCATGACTGCTCTTTGGCAGGAAATATGATGTAGCCCCAATGTCCTCTATTGTTCTTCGCAGCATAGTCAGCCAGCAAAGGTTCACCTGCTGAACCCAGAGTGATTGCTCATTGAGGCCTGTCAGTGGTGTGCTAGTAGCAGGCCACACAGGCGCTCGCTCTGGCTGCCGTGTGTGTGCGAACCGAGCTTGTTGCGTCACAGGGGAAACAGACTTCTCCACGCAGACAGAGAGGTTAACAGGTCCGAGGAGTGATTTTGGGTGTAAACTGAAAAGCCTGCTGTAATGGCTTTCCCCTTCTCTCTGGCGCAACAAGCACCTGTCGACTGGCCTAGAATAGTTTCCACTCAGTCGCGGTAGCGATACAAGGGCGAACTGCATGCTGTGAGAAAACGCTGCCACCACCTTTTTTCACCCTCATTCTTTCCCATGGAGTTTTAGGAAGGAAGGAAGTCACAAATTAGGTTGGGAACCTGTAATGATATACACAGAGATGCTCATTACTCCCCGTAGTGACCGTAGCACAGGGTAAAGAGTAAAGTGCCGAGTAAAGGTTCATTTCTGGCACAAAAACGTGGGTGCACCTGTTATTCCGAAAGGCAAGTTTGAGAAGACAGCAAGAATTCAGAGCATCCTACTTATCTGAGCACAGAAATGACTTATCATTTTCTCTCTACTCCTCTCTGGCTTTCTTGCAGAAGAAGCTGACAGCAGAGTGTGTTTTCCGTGAGCAGTTCGAGGAGAACTGGTACAACACGTACGCCTCGACGCTCTACAAGCACGCCGACACCGGGAGGTACTACTACGTGGCCCTGAACAAGGACGGGTCGCCTCGAGAAGGCGGGAGGACTAAAAAGCATCAGAAGTTGACTCACTTCCTACCCAGGCCTGTGGAGATCGATAAGATCCCCCAGGCTTACAGGGACTTGTTCCAGCACAGGTGACCAGAGCTCCAGCCAGTGCTGCTGGAGGAGCGTTTGCGGGGGAAGGAAGTGGGGATTGGTCGTAAGGGATGGACAGCGGGAGGGCTTATGGAGACCCTCCCCTTCTTCCCTTCGCAACTGTTTAGATTTGCCTTCTGGTCCAAAGTGAGGAGTCCCTCTCCAGCAGTGACTGAGATAAACAGTACGTGTGTGTTCCTGGATGGCTTCGTTTCCTCTCCTTAATGGGTTTTAAACCACAGAGCAGAGAGGACATTCCTCCCACCGCCGCCGGTGCCAAGAGGTGTCCAAGGGAGAGGTGTTGACTTCAGGGGCCCATGACTCCTTGGTGTCACGCAACTGCTTCATCCTAAGACAGTCATGAGCACGCATTTAGTACATCTGCTAAAATTCTCAAGGAACCACTCGTGATGGAAAGTGAACCACTTATGGGGCATGCACTTCTAGAAAAAAAACTCTGGCTTCAGTTTTTGTCTTTGCAACTTTAGTAGCACTTAAATGTCTTAAACATGAAGGTGAAAAGAGTCTGCTCACGTCCACAGAGCAGGTTGAAACTCGGACACTGATGCTTTCTATTTCTGTCAGCTTGGACACAACAATCAAGCGTAGTGGTTAACTTCAAGAAGTGTCTTTGCAAGCTTACACTCACCTTCTAAATAGGCATGCAGTCAGGACTGCAAAGGGACCAGAGTGCTGACCTTATGGAGAAAAGATTAAGGGAGTACAGTACTTACCAAGAGAGCTTTGAGACCTGGTGGACAAGGATGAACATACCGTAGCATCTCAATAAGAGAACCGTAGAAGTAAGAGCTTTTCAGACAAACGTACGTTTAAGGACACTTGAGGGGTGAGAGGTACTACTAAGTAATAAAACTAGCCAGCTTATACTGAAACAATAACAACCACTGATGAAAAAGCGAAACCATAGAGGACTGCAGGGTTTTAAGGGAAAGGCCTAAAAGACCACCTAAGATGAACACACATGAGGGCAGAGTGGAAGAGACCATCTTCAGTGTGAAACACTGGGAGATAAATGAGCACTTAGCACCACTCTGTGAATCCACTCCTTGTCTTTTGAAGGTTCTGGAAAAGTCTGCCTGTTGAAAAGAAAAACAAAAAGCACTCTCTGCGAAAAACCCAGTGATGTATCTATTAAAACCAGGGAAAAGCTATGGTATATGCAGAAAGGCTGAGCAGGAGTGTTGGTTGGTTGACGAAAGGAGTGACTTGTAATGTTCAGGCTGTCAGGAACATTATTAAAAATGCAAGTGACAGGTGTAAATATGGATGAACCTATTTATAAGATGTACAATATATTTATTTTCTACATATAAAGTATAATTCTAAATCTATATATATATATAAATATATTTATTTATTGCAAAGTCTTTATTTTGTAATGAACTTGAAATTGTAAGAACTGTAAATTCTACTGAAATTATACAAAAGGGCTAATAATTCGACCTGAAAGAACGGCAATAAAATTGTCCTGCTATTTAGCGTTCATTGTGAGTGACCTTTTTTTACTTGGAAAAAAAAAAAAAAGGATTCTCTGTAATAATTAAAATCTTATATGGAGAAACACTGAGTCGATTCATTGATTGCACCGCAAGCTTCCTCGAAAAGTTCCAGCGCTGCCAGAATTTGTGGTCAGGCTCACTCAGTATGTGGTCAGGCTCGCTTCAAACACAGCGCTAATTTGGCCAACCATGGATCAGGACACAAAAAGCTTAAGACTGAAATGCTTGTGAGAAAGCACTGACCACGAACCCTCAAACAAACCAGATCTGAGCCGCGCCATTTCAGAAAATACCTTAACGTTAAGGTGCGGCGCCCTACCAGGGATGAAAGTTAAACTGACAAACGCCCGCTGCTCCAAGAGGACGCAAATTCCAGAGCGAACTACAACACTGAGTAATCAATCTCTCCGGAGATGTGGCTGATGATGTAAAGAGACTGCTCTTGGCTTAGGGAGCCTATGAGAAAGTTCTCCCCAAACAGCCTGCGGAGACATAAATCAAACCTCTGCAGCAAGTGAAACAATAAAAAGGGACTAGGTGGGTCACTGGGTGACAAAGTTGTTGAAAAGTAGACTCCTAAGACGTTTTGCTCCACGAAAACAAGAGGGAACAGTAACAAATGGGGGGAAAAGCCCCCCAAATGGACTCTGCGCATTGTTTGTCTGCACAACACAAGACTCCCATAGCGACTAGCTGGGGCCAGTCTGACGTTGTCCTAAACATGAGGTTTCAGTCCACTTACATCAGCAGCCATGGACAATCTGGATTCATAGCACAATCCAGATTTATAAACGTATTCACAGCCATACCCTAAGCCAATACTTGACAACATATTGGGCTTGGCTGTAGACAGATGATTGGTTGTTCTCGTTGTTGCCAACAGGCTTGGATAGTTTCAGCGCTAATGCATATTCATGAAGCTTGTGAACAGCGCTGGAATTGAAGGGGAAAGCAGATGAGGGGAACAGCTGCCTGGTGGCCAGAAGGGATGCAGCAAATGTAGACTAGTGACGATCTGGACAAAGTTGGGAGCAACATTTCGACAACTGCAATGTGGTTGTAACGCTTCACTCCTGGCACAAGGTTTGAACACAAGTTCATCTGTGTGGGTGAGGGAGAGAGGCTATGGTGGTTGGGGGGAAGGGGGGGGGATTCTGGCAAGGAGAAGAAATTAATGTACAGAAAAATGTCTCAAATAAAAGTCTACAGAGTGCATCTGGATATTAATCCTTCTTTATGAGGCATGACGAGCTGCTTCTCTTCTGAATTGCTGGCATTCTATAGAGAAATAGGGAATACAAAGAAGGGTAGATGGTGTACAAAACTTCCTCCAACAGAGTTAAACTACAGGGTGATTCAAAAAGATTAGTCTGATTTCAAAGTGCCATATTTTTACAACCGTGAGGCGCCTAGGAACCAATCACATTCCAATTGAAAGAGGGGGGTCATAGAGTTTCTGACTGTCAGTGGAAGATGGCTCCCTTCAGTCTGAGAGGAGATGAGACCCCTGAGCAGAAAGCGTTCTGCGTTCTCCACTTCAATAAGAGTGAATCCGTCATAACTGTGCAGAGTGATTTTCGTGGGCAGTGAAGCTCCAGCAGCTCAGAGTGTTCGTCGTTGGTTCCACAACACTGGATGATCTCCGAAATCGCACTGAAAGAGCCGTGAGTGCAGCGACACCGACATGCTCAATCCAGTATGGGGTGAGCTTGACTATGGTGTTGATGTTGTCTGTACAGCTGGAGGAGGTTCATACTGAGACCTTGTTCAATCACATAATAAACTTTATACTCATTTAAACCATTTACAGTTCACTGCATTGATCTGTAACGATTTACAAGAGAAATAAATCATTTTCAAATCAGATGAATCTTTTCGAATCACCCTGTATTTTCACCATAACCCATGGGTTAATCTGGTGACCACAGGGGCTAACTGATCTGATGACTTCTAGTGACATCAACTTACTGTCATCTGGACTGAAGCATCATGCATTAGGTGCGGTCACAAGACGAGTCTCATCACTGACTCTCTGGTGGGCCAGATGTACAAACGCTTGGAAAAACACGCTCAAAGACAAGCACACATCTAAACACAATAATGCTACTAAATGCAAATCACCCTTTTGGTCACTTTATTTAAATGTAATATTAAATACTTATTCTAGTAAATAGCAGATCAGATTAATGGCAAAACAAGTTGGTGTATTTGCTCACATGAGAACATTCTTGGGAGGGAGAAAAGTTCCTCTACATTTCTGAAATACACCCTGTGCAAACGAGGGAGCTTAGTCTCCAATTAGAAACATCTATACCGTTTTAGCATCCGAAGCAGAAATGTGCCAAAGTAGAATACATGTAGCCTGAGGGCCAGCCTAATGTGGTTAGTTAGCATTACCAGATACCTGCAGCCTAACCATTTGCAATTGTCTTTAAATTACAGAAAACACACAATCTCAGTAAGGCGAGAGCCCGGGCTAAAACGTGGAACGAAACAGATGAACAGTACTTACAACACTATGCTAAGCAACACTTTTACGACGAGAAATCGGAGGTTACAAAAGTCCAGGGGAGTCCGGCAAGCAGTTTTAACAACACAGGCATTCCATTATATGATAAGCAACAACAAGTGTAAAAGCCTAAAAGCATAATAGAAAAAGGGGGGAGGGGGTTCTGCTCAGTGTGTTTGAAAACAAATTTAGCTGATGTAAGGCCATCACTGCATCTTTTTTTTTCTCCTTTAAGGTGTTAACAGTGCCTCTGGAGCACCGGGATTCACAGCACCACTGATCATCCACTAGTAGATAGATATTAACGCTGTATCTATTAAGATAGATTCTTCTAGATCTTTTATAACATACAAATCTGTAATGAGCAACACTATGGTCCCACAGAGGTTCAGTTATTTTTTTTCTTGTCCTGTATAAAAGAAAAGAAAAAAAAAAATCAAAATAATGCACAGCCCTTATTTAAGGGGAAAAGAACAATGCAATGCTTAAAAGCATTTGGGGAAGAATATCTTAAATATGTGGAAAAAAAAAAGAAGAAAACTTGAATAACATTAAGGCTATATATACACAATTACAAACTAAACCGCCGAGACCCTTGGTAACGTCCTCCACATTTTTATTCCGACTTTTACATTAGTGCTGGACGAGGGGCAGGAGAGGGTCCAAGCAGGTTCTCATGATGTCGGCCCGTCCCGCGCTGGACAAAAAAAAAAGGTGGGCCGATGCGGAGCTGGTCGTCTACAGGCCCTTCGAGGGCCCTGGGTTCTTGCCCAGCTGGGGGGTTGGCAGGCCCTGGAGGGCACCCAGCTGCTGGTACAACCCCAACAGCTCCATCTGACTCATGCCCCCGGCGATACCGTTCTGCAAGGCCAGCTGGTTCATCAGCAGACCCTGTCTGGCCATGGCCAGCTGCTGCTCCTGGACCTTGCGGTTGGCAATCACCTTCTGCACATACATCATTAGCTGTGGACGAGACCAGAGAAAGGTGTAAAATTATTTTCTTTATCGCCATGAACTCCCCAGACAGCGACACGAAGCCAGGGTCGCCACCACCGCCGGCAGGAATAAAAGCATTTTAGTTGTAGAAAGAGGTTGTGTTGACTTAACCAGACCAGGTCCATGTGCAAAACACAGAGGCACATGGAACATTTTTGCAAAATAAGGAGTTAAACCTGAAAACTGCTGCCTTCTAGACGACTCTCCACTATTTAGATGGTTTGGTGTAGATCGTTTGTAGATACTTCACTAATTTTCAAGCAGCATTCAAATCAACAATTACTTTAATTACTTTAATCTAAAAACAATAAATCTAACAACTTTAAATCTATCTCTTAGCAAATTATAAGGCCTAGATTTTTGACTAGATTATGCATTATGATTTCTAGAAAATAGTGCTGGATGATATGACCTCAAATCAATATCACAAATAATTGAATGTTTTACATCAATTACGATTAATGAACGATTATTTTGTTGCACTGTAAATATGTTCCGCATATCTTAATGTAAATTGTCTCAACAGCCAGATCGGAATCCAAGCGGCTTTTACGTCAATCAAACTCAAATTCGTCATAATTTCGCTCTGCTGAGACTCAAACATTTGGGGTGATATTTCTGTACAAAAATTAGAAGAGACTCATCCCAAACCCTCCGTGTTTGAAGAGATTTTGAAAGAGATGTCCGAACGCAGCCGCAGGAGAACGAGGCTGCAGCGTATAGAACAGTTAAAAGTCTGAGATCGAACACATTCTGGGTGATGAGCCCAGCTGTCAGTCAATGAAGCTTCATGATGGCTCATGTGATGCTGGTGAAGATGAAGCTGATTCTCCGAGAGCGAACGGCATTCTTTAGCGGTCGTGATTGTTTACTTCTGGATGAGCCGCATGAAGCGGCGTGAAGCTCTGTTCTTTTGCGCATGCGGGTCAGTTTAGGAGCTGATCTGTTCAGACTGACATTTAAAAGATAATCTGAACAGACAAAATCAGATTTGGGCCACTTTTACTGGCTGTGTGAACGTAGCCTTAGCTTCCCTGTCACGGACTGGACATGGTGGAGTCACGTGATACATGCACGGTATTAAGTTTTAGGGGGACAGAACATGAACACAGTGGGGAAACGATTAAAAAAAAAAAACGAAATAACCAACACTGGCGTCGGTTAGAGGTTCTGAATGTCGGTTTCGATCACTTTTCGATTAATCGCTCAGCCTTACTAAAAAAAAAAAATCCATCATATAATAAAACAATTTCAAATAGTCTTTTAACCTCAAATTCACACACCAACTGGCACCAAAGCCCTTCTAAATCGAGTGAAAAGTGTAAATATAGTGGAGTGCATTTACATAATGAACAGGTGAAGACAGACACACAAAAAGAGAGAACAAGAGAGGGCTGTACCGTTTGCTGCTTGTTGAGAACGTCTCGGTACACAGACTCTCTGTGTTTAAGCTCGATCTCGAAGCTGGCCTGTCTGCCCAGAGCCATGCTCTGCACCTGGGACTCCGTCAGGTTGGGGTTCTCCTTCCACTGCCAAAGAGAAATGCACCTGTTACTCTGGGCACACCTGCAGCATGCACAACTACACTAGTCATCGCACACTATGCTTCTGGCGTATCTAAACATATAAACCATATGTACAATACGGCAGCCACATTCCCTTTGCTAGACTTATCCTTAAAAACACAGCCACACAGATGGCAGAGACACAACACACCATTTTCCACTTCTTTTAACTGATCCCAAACATTCTGAGAACAGATGATGGAGCGTATCGTAAACTGGCTGTAAAACAAGCGTTTGTTCTTCGATAAGGACGTGTTTCAAAAGGAACAACCATAGTTCTTACTATTGCTGATGTTGCATTTTCCCTGTTACATACTCCCAGGAAACACTAGCCACGTTTACATGCAGCCTAATAATCCGTTAATAATCAGACTAATAGCTGAATCGAAACAGAATACGTTCCTGTATACACCTCAGTCGGAATAGACTAGTCAGATTGAGGCCATTCGGAATACAGTTTCTATCTGACTGATCGAGGTGGGTAATCCTGTAAATAATCTGTTAAATAGAAGAATAATATCCGTGTAAACGCCTGTATCTGATTACATTCCCTATCGGAAAGTTTAAGTCCGTTCTGATCATGTTCGTCGCGTCATAGTGAAAGTTTATACCGTTCAACATGCCGGAGCAGAAACTGGTCTGCAGAGGAGACGAAGTTTCTGCTCTGGTCTTTAAAAGACGGCGGTGGGACGGACGTCCAGCTTATGTGTCTCAGAACACGACGTCTTCCTCTCGGCCTTCTTTAATAAGGACATGTGAAGGACGTTTTCCTGAGTCTGACATCATTTTAAAGCAGTTAAAAACACAAGCACTGCTCACTGCTGCTCATCTCACTCTGACTGGACTCACGTGATGCTGGTTGTCATGGTAACGTCCAGACTAATTTTGGATCGGATTACTTGTAGTGTGCATGTAATTTTCCATCAGACTGTTGAATAGAGTGAGCTAAATCTATAATCGGAACGTATTCAATCAGATTGGAGAAAATCTTTGCATGTAAACACAGCCAGTGTAGCAGTAAGTGTCCTTTGCCACTGTTTCAAGGTTTGGCTCTCCTGGCTAACTTGTTCCCTGCAGGGATGCAGTGTGCCCCCCTGTTCCCTCCCCCATCACTCACCACTTGCCCAATGATGTCCTCCAGGGACTCCCTGGGCAAAGACTTTAGAGCATTGGTGGCCTCTACCACCTTCTGTCGACCCTGGTTAATCAGCTCCTTCAACACAGAAGAGGATGAGAGAGAAAATGAGAGGAAAACAAGAAATAATGAGAAAACACAACCAGTCACTAACTCCTGATTATACACAACACTTTCCTCTATTTAAAGGAATAGTTTGGCAAAAACTCAAAATTTCCCCTTACACCAAGTGTAGTTGATCAGAAAGATAAAAAGAAAAGACAAAGTAAACAAACAAACCAAAAAAAATCTAATACCAAACACATCTTGGCTACTTAAATATGTTTAAGTGGAAAAGTGTGCAATTTTTTTTTCGCTCTACTACTTCATTAAATGTCTGCACGAACCACGTTTTCAACAAGATAACGGCAAAGGCAGCCATACGTCAACAGCAGTTGGCATATAGCTGCGCCAACTGTCACATTCCTGAAAACACGTGTCGCAATTAGCTGTGGAATTGTGGAATGCAGAAAAGTTCATGTGGCGCTTGTTACTGACCTCCAGCTGTTGGTTGCTCATGGAGGCCAAGGCGGCCACGTTGAAGGGGAAGTAGGCGTTCTGTGCTCCTATGCCCATGTGCGAGTATGCCGGCTGGTTGAAGCGCATGGAGAGACCCTGTAACATATACAAACCCCACACTATTAGGACAAGAGAAGGAGGGGGGTGTCCAGACAGGCAGTAGCAGTATCTTCATATGTGAGCATTTTCTGCAATCTGAACAGCAGGGATTCAATTCACATTTGTACAGACCTGTGGACATGCAACTTCAACTGACCAGTGCTATGTGGTTCAATCAGTTCCATGACAACCAAAGTGGATATCTGAGCAAACGTGACTACAATCTGACCATAAAAATCTGACTTGGTCAGTTGTAACATACACATAAATGCATGCTCTGTCTAAAAACTGGATTCAAGAAACATATCTGATTTGCCCCACTGAGTGAACAGAGTCCAAAATCTTTCTATCATTTGAGAAATATTGCTAAAGTTTGCCCTTTTCTATCTCTCAGCGATGCAGAGAAACTTGTTCATGCGTTTGTTACAGCAGAGTTGATCACTGTAATGATCTTCTTACTGAACTTCCTAAGAAAACAAAACATCCTTTACAACTCGTACAAAATTCATCAGCATCCTAACAAAAACAACACAGAGAGATCAGATCAGTCCCGTTTTAAAAGAGCTGCACTGCCTGGCTGTAAAGTTCTGATACTAGTTTTTAAGGCTCTAAATGACCTTAAAGCTCCACTTACATCACAGAACATCTGTCTTTATGTTCCAGCAGGTGATCTTAGGCTACGTTTACACAGCAGGTGAAAGTGGCCCAAATCCCATCTTTTTCTTGATGTGTGACACAGATTGTCTGTGTTTCAGTGTGAACAGATACACACACTGAATCTGACATTCAATTCAGATTTGAGACGCTTTTATATGTGGTACCGAAATCCGATGTATCCGATATGCAGCAATGCAACTCAGTCTGAACAGCCAGATCAGAATTCGACTTTTACGCATGACATTCATAATAATTTCATGCTGCTGAGACTCAAACATTTAGGCTGATGTTTCTGTACCAAAAAATTAGAAGAGACTTGTCGCAACCGCTCCGTGTTCGAAGAGGTTTCGAACGAAACAGCCGAACGCGGCCGGAGGAGACCGAGGTTTAAAGAGCCTTAGATCTGCAGAAACTGACGTTTTGCAAACACCTTCTGTAAAATACAGAAAACGTGGAGAGACTCTTTGTTATTCTGCTTCTAAACTGTGGAGCTCAGTTCACTTTTTATCAGACAGTCAAGCTCAGAGCTCACTTTGAAGAAGCATCTAAAAACGCAGCTCTTTAACTCAGCATTAAATTAAAACCCTACGTCTCATAGTATTTATCTTTTAATTTGATGTGTTTTTTGATCATTTTCTTATACGATTCTAAATGAATACTTATCATTTCTTGTATAACTGTTTTTATCACCTTTCTGTAAAGTACTTTGAGCTGCCATCGGCATGAACAGTGCTATATAAATAAAAACAACTTACAAAAGGGAATTAATTGAAAGTGAGTCATTCTTTTCTCTGATTTGTAACTTATGCTGAACCCTCAAAGCGCCCCTCGTTCTGACCTCATGTTCCACTTGCCTGATGTGTCTGCCCTGGACTGTGAGAAGCTGTGGCTAACAATAGCTCTCATGCCTTCCGCTGTAGCCAGCAGACGGCAATCACCGGCTTAGAATGTGCGCTGGAAAACGCAGGCGTGCGAACCTCTCACCTGCCCAGCTCCTGCTCAAGCTGTGTTTGCGTGATCGCTCTAAACAGCGCTCTCGCTCGCCAAAAGGTCAGCGGGACGGCTGTGTTTGTGCGTAAATGAGCTCCTGCAGCAGATGCGCGCCGCCGCTGCCCTGTAATCGGCCCTTTGGTGTGCGCCTCTCGTAAACACACTCCTCGACTGAGTGTCCGGTGTAGCAGACCTGGTCAGAGCAGGTGTGCTGCAGCAGCGATGGTGCTGGAGAGGTCAGCGTGGAACACAGCTGGCCCTCAGAACGAACCGTGGGACAATCTAAACCGCCTCCTTCAGTTTACCCCACGATATATATACACAGCACTGAGGGCTTTTCCCCCCTCCATTTTTCTCTTGATAGTGATGTCAAAATATGGCATTACTCATTACTTGAAAATCTCATTGCTAATTGAACTAAAACACACAAAAGGCCTGAAGCTCATCGATCAAACATAAAAGAAGATTCCCTCGTCCTTCCATGACTTCAGTCTCAGCAGAGACCAATTCTGAACTTCAAATAGTTGACAATATTAAGAACAGTGACCAATTCGCCGGATCCACCCACAGGCGCTGTGAAAAACCACTTCTGAACCAACACTAACAAACATGAATGTTTGTGTGGTGTGATATGTAGTCATGTTACCATCTCTTCATGTTTGGAGTCATTTAAACCGTTTAGCAAACATACTGTGGTTGTGGGAAGAAAACCTCGTATCCCCAAAACGGTAACTTTACAGGAGAAGGAAAAAATCTACTTTAGTTTTAATGTAAGTCAATGGAACCAGACTTTTTTCAAAGTCAGTTTGGGTTGTTTCTTTTAGGCTGTTCATTGTGAAATTCGCATACAATCTAAAGGGTAACAGGTATTTTCAAATTATGTCAAAAACTTAAAAACGTCAAAAATGGAGATGCGAGGTTTCCTTCCGACAAACAGCAATATAAAAGAAAGTAAACCATCCATTATACTCCACTAGCAAGAATCTGAGACGATAGCTCATCTGCTGCTGCACAGTTTGTGTTGGTCATCCTCTAGTCCTTCATCAGTGGTCACAGGACGCTGCCCACATGACGCTATTCTCAGTCCAGCAGTGACACTGAGGTGTTTAAAAACTCCAGCAGCACTGCTGTGTCTGATCCACTCAGACCAGCGCAACACACACTAACACACCACCACCACGTCAGTGTTACTGCAGTGCTGAGAATGATCCACCACCCAAATAGTACCTGCTCTGTGAGGGTCCATGGGGGTCCCGACCACTGAAGAACAGGGTAAAAGGGGGCTAACAAAGTATCAGAGAAACAGATGGACTACAGTCTGTAACTGTAGAACTACAAAGTGCACCTATATAGTAAGTGGAGCTGATAAAATGGACAATGAGCTTAGAAACAAGGAGGTGGTCATAATGTTACGATGATTATTACACTGACCAGGATGACTTGGCTGTAACTACAGGACGAAAGGGACATGAGTATGCAGGATCATGAGAGGGCCGGGACAGAGTGAGTGGAAAAACAGTCATTAACATGAATGACAACAGCAAGCAGGTTCCAGGATTACAATACCACTGCAAGGCCGGAGTCCAATGCAGCAACCGGTAATTCCTCTCCGAATAAACTCCATTAATTAGTCCCTGACATGTCCCTTTTGGGGAGGGCAGCACTGGCACCACCAGCCCCCACCCCTCCTCAATCTGGAGACAATGGTGAAGACAGACAGGACTGTACAACACAGTAAGACTGGAATTCATTTCACATTAAATCTCACTTGAATAAGATTTGTGAGCTGAAGGCAGAAGATGCCATTTACAGTAATGTTTAATACTGTTCAACCAACGTTTGCACCAGTGTGGAATGCGGGACGACTGGCTGAACGGACCAAATTCTGCTCTGGACGACACACTTGCCGCTCTCTCTCCCTCTATCTACGAGCCTAAGAGCGCCCCCTGCTGCTGCAGCGCCTCTCGCCAACATTTACAGTCAGGTTTCAATGATGTGGACCTGAAGATACACAAACATGGACCGCCGGTTAAACCGTAAATCTACATCATCTGAAGTGGAACCCGCTCAGAAAAAAACACCGGAACCCGAAAGGGCGCAAACAGCAGTGCCAGCGAGGTCAGCGTTAACATCATCAATCCCCAGGATCCTTAGTCAGGTAACAGTAACGTTAGCCAGGTGAAGCAGCAGCACAAAGACAAGTTTCAGACTAACTGGCTCAGAATATTTTCGTGGCTCGAAACTGTAAAATGTACAGTGCTGCGCCTTTTACCAGCCGATCTTACAATACGTCAACTTTAAGGCGCCACTCAGATGGAGTTTCTCACACAGCAGCCTTGAAAAGAAAGGTTGAGGCAGATTCGGCAAAGAATGTGATGCTAATGCTGTTGAAGTTGCGCAGTTGCAGTGTGAGGAGGAAACGAAGGGGCTTCTCAAAACGGCCTACTTTATAGCAGAAAACAAACTGGCTAATTCAAAATTTGGTTCATTCTGAAAAATGAATGAAAAATTCAGGCCCTGTTTAATATTACACATTTGGATTCTTCATGCTAGGAGATCCTTCTGTAATATCTATAACATTTTGATATTTCAAAACTAAAATTATTTACTTATCTATGATGTGTACACATTTTTTTAAATGAAACACTATTAGAGCTATGCGACAGCCATGGGGGTGTGAGAGAAGTTTTGTCTCTGATACTCAGCCAATACTTCGCCCATCAGTACACTACAGCAGTCGATTTGAAAGATACTACACACAGGATCAATAAGCTACTTTTACTGCTTTTAAAAAGTGTTTAATAAATAAAATAAATTCTATGGAAGAAAATTGTTAGATTTTGATATCAGGTCACTTCACAAATGTACTACTCAGTTTGGGAAAAAATTTAGTAAGAAAAAATTTGCAGTGATACTGTAGACCCAAAACGTTACTGAGACGTTCATGTTTAGCTCAAACTTTAACCTTTTTGGGATTTTGCATAGCATTACTTTGAAAAATAACTACTTAGCTCTTGTGTGGTGTTAATGTGTGTGTTACTCAGTGGTCTGCTGGACCCACCACATTATTGTTTTTTAAATCAATACAGCCACAACAATTTATGTAAAAATACCAGATGTTTAAAATATCACGAGTGGCCAGTGTAGGGTTCTTCTTTAGCAGCTGTAGCCAGTCAGCAGCCCGTCCATGTTGTCCACCCTCACACACACACAAACACACACACCAAAGGCAGGCCATGTAGAAGGAGAACAGAGTGAAGGACACAGCACCTCCACACTTTTACTCCCCGCAGGTTCAGCCCAACACCACGTGTGTAATATAAATGTGTGGGGGGTGAACAGAGTGAAGACACTGAAATTGGGTTATTTTATATGTTCTTCACAGAAAATGAGCAAAGACCAAGAATCTGAGGTTGAAATAATAATAAATCACATGTTTTCTTTTGGTAAACGTTGAAAAAGGGTCCCACAGACCTGAACACCACACAAAGGGTTAAAGATGCATTAGTGACGAGCATATACTTGTTAAACAGTGCTATGTAATGGGCACAAGTTAAAGAAATACCTTTTTCTCGGCTTCATATTCAGCCCAGGCAGCCTTACGTTCCTCCTCGCTCAAAGCCTCCTCCTCTTTGTGGTCCAGCAGAGAATCGTGCTCGTGGTAACACACAATCTGGTCTTTAAAGCTGTGAAGCAGCTCAGCCAGAACAGGGTCCTGTTGAGAAAAAGCAGATGGGTCAGCACTTAGATCAGGGGTCACTCCAATAAACACATACGTACATGTGCACACACCTAGATCGAGATGATCTAACGTGTTCCTCAGACAAAAATCGCTTCCCACTATTACTCTTGATTAGGTTAAGGCCCAATCCCATTTCACCGCTCGCCCCTACCACTTAGCCCTACCCCGTTGTTTTGTGTGCTCTCGTTTAGGGGTAGGGAGTCCCAGTTCTTGTTGAGATAGAGGGGTAGGGTGAAGTGTTAGAGCTACATGACCCCCCAAACGGAGGTTTTTCAGAGACTCCAAACAGTGTTATAAGAAAAAAAGAGAAACTGACAAGATGGAGCACAAGAGACCAAAGAAACCCACAAACGTGAATATTTTCTCCATTAAAAATTACAATAACGATTGTATTATCGTAGCTTAATGTTGTTTCAGTGTATTATGGTCCTTTTCTTCTAAACAACAGTGCCCGAACACTATGTCTCAGTAGCCAGCTAGCTACATTTCCCGTTCCACCTTGAATGGTGGTGCCACAACTTAACTGCTGCGCCATTTAAGGTGGAATGAGAAAATTTGAAAGAGAAGCTGGTGAATATCTGACTTCAGCTTCATATCACTGAAGAATTAGGGGTGGGTGATAATAAATAATTGCCCCCCTCTTTGAAGGCATATGATGCCCTAAATGTAACTAAAGCCCAGCAGTGAGGAGCTGAACTTTACCCTCCTCTGCTGTCACTGCAGACTGGCAGGGTCGCCTACAGAGCAGCGCTGGTAGCTGTTAATGAAGTGATGCTCTTTTTATTTGAGGGTCCCATTTCAGAGGGAAGATTTCAACCACTATCCCTTATAACTTAGTTTCAAGGGGTTAGGGTGACACTCGAAAACAAGGGGTAGGGGTAAAAATAAGAAGCAGGATTGGGCCTAAGTCCACCCAGGTTAATCAGGGGTAAACAAGTCCTCTTCAGAACTAGTTTACTAATAATAATAATAATAATAATAATAATGAACTCGAATACAAGGCTGGTTTATTTGAAAAGAGTCAAAAACTCCAATCGGGTGGAGGGGCGGCGGCGGCGGCGGGGTTGGGGGGGGCAAAACCTTAATCCGATGAGAAATGACAAATAGCAATTTAGCAGCTGGTTTGCGGCACAGAGCTCGAACACTACACAGCCGACAGACGAACACTCAGAAGTGGACATGTTTAAAATGAATTCTGAGCCTTTCACGCAACTCGGGTTTCCAAGACAACACTGTTATTGAAAACAATACCTGAGTAAAACTGAATTCTCAGCCAGCCCTTTCACACAAACATGGTTTAAATTACTCTCTGCCGCAAATGTTTGCTTTTCTTTGTCTTGCCTTTGCTTTGCATTAAATGGACCCTTGCTATCTGGAAACAGCACCGCCGCACTGTCTTACTCTCACTCACACGGTCTGTGCAGCAACTGTCCGATCATTCAGCCTCTGATTGAGGAGTGACAATGATTTGACTGCTACCAAATTGATCACGCATGTCACCAAAGTTAGAAAAGAAAACAGTGTTTGAAAATTACAGATTGATTGCAAGATTTCTATGGAAAAGGCTCAAATAAACAGAAAATCAACCAGTGAAACGAGATCCTCGGCCGAAAAGGGAATCGAGAATAAACCAGATCTGCGTCTATTTATAGAAATATAAAACATAAGAGATAACGTGGCACAGACAGGTAAGAATAACACTGCCATGCTTTCCGCATTACGCCAGAGGAGAGTAATGGACTGCAGGGCTACAGATCCCTCCGCATCAAGAAATTTGGCTAAGTGGGCTTGATAGCTGGAAAATAAAAACATGTGGCAAAAGCAAGTACAATCACGGCAGGCCCGGCCCATCTCCTCCACGGCCAAAAAGTCATGGCTGCGCATGCAGTCGAGCCCAAGCTGCTAATTAAAACATGGCCCAACACTGCCGTCTGAGGCAGCCCCATCCTCGCTGCACCACCAAGGCTAAGAGAGATATTGCTCAGATGTCCTGAAGAAACAGAGAGTCTGTTATTTACATTATTCAGTGTTCACAGAAAAGGAAGATTTTCCCCTTTGAAAAAGTAAAAGGATGGGGGGATTTGGTGGAGGGGGTGGGTCAGAGAGCAAAGGCAATTTGATGATTAAGCTGTTGCTTACATCTCCACTGAACACATTTCAAACACTGCCTGCTATAATTTCTATCCCACAGGCGGAGCAGAAACCCTGGGCGCTGGCTTAACTGAACACTGTCCAATGCAACGCTGAGCCGGTAAATGGGTCACAGAGCCAGGGGGTGGTCGAATGACAGCAGCGCTGTCCGGGGGAGCAGAGAATGCTGGGATTCCTGATTAATCTCTAGGTTGGAGCTCCCCGGGTGGTCCAGTCTGTCTTTGCAACCTGCCCGACATGTGCACCTCAGGCAGAGCCACTAATGATCGCAACAAGAACGCCTGTATTGTCACGCTGCTCGAACCGTGAGCTCTCGCATTGTATAATGATGGCTTAAGAGAAATGCAATCATTTTAGAAAAAAGTGGGGGGAGGCAGAGTGGGCAAAAACTTAAAAGAAAGTTGTTTTTTTTCCTGGACAGGGGGGTCTGAGGGAAATGAAGGAGGTCCCACAGGAACTCCAAAAAGGGGGAAGGGAGAATTTTTGGCTTTTGATCATGGTTTCGAGGTACTTAAGGCAGCGAGATCCAGGGCTGAGGATGGTCCCAGGTGAATGGTCTCCCTGATGATAATGCAGCACACTGAGTTTAAACACTGAGCTCTTTGAGTCAGCCTGATATTCCTTGGCAAATTTCAGGCCGTCTTAAACGCTTCGGTGAAGGCAAAGCTTCCTGAAATATCTGATGGCTCCTTCCAGACATGGTCTTCCTACATGTTCCATGCCAAAAGCTGTAGATGGCAACCTATTCGAGCCAGAGAACACTCAATCCTCCAAAACTCAAAAAAAGAAACGTAAGTCTGGCTATTACTGAGTTGTGCTGCCCTTTTCTTCACACTGCAATAAGCCTGTATTCTCTTTCAATTAGACAGTTTTATTGAACAAAGGAAAGCTAAAGGAATTATGGGGCACCACTCATGGTTTAGAACCAGAGCTTACAAGGAACACACTGGGCAGTTTCGTTCATGTGTTTGCATTCATTCATGGGATGTCCTTCGCACAGATATTGTGACCAGCCTCTTAGGTTTGTGCTAAAAGTCACCAGCCCAGAACTGCATCTATTCACCATTACAGAACGTTATAGACATTATTTAATAACATGGTTTAAAAGAGCGACTTATTACAGAACCAAAAAATGGCTCATCAGTTCTGCAAATTTCAGATTCACTCTTTGAACTACTGGTGATTTTTCTTTATTTTTGACTGTTTCTTCATATTAAACAGTGTTTTAAATGGTTTTAATTTGGCAGCATAGAATAGACAGCATAGAATGTTATCGCATATTTGGCTCGTGCCTGCAACCAAATCACAGCCGTGATGTTATTGGCGATAACACACGACCTTGAGTGTTCTATTGCTTTAATACAACAGTTAAATAAATAAAGTAAAGAATAAATAAACTGGGCCGTGAACGCAGCGTTTAATATGTTAGCAATTCCTTCCACCAAATTTTAGTTCCTTAACGAGCAGTTTGTTGCTACGTCAGAGTAACGAACTCCGCCCACTCGCTGCACAGCCGGCAGTTCGTCCGCCAGCTCCTTACACTAAATTCCCAAACTGTCGTCACCACTGAGCAGCTTTTCAGTCGGCAGCTGAGACAGAAGAACAGCTGAACAACCTGGAATCAGCCAGAAATGAACCCAACACCATTCGCCAAACGTGTAGTCTGATCTTCAGAGTCTGACCAAATCAGACTGAGCCATAAAACTGCCGCAATATCAAGTTTAGCTCAGTTTTGTCAGTTTTTGCCAGATCAGTATTAATGTTGTTTTGTTCCAGCCAGTCTGTAAAGCATCTTACAGCCCATTTAGTTTGGCGAATGGTATTGGGTTCATTTCTGACTGATTCCAGGTTGTTCAGCTGTTCTTCTGTCACAGCTGCCGACTGAAAAGCTGCTCAGTGGTGATGACAGTGGTTTGGAAATTTAGTGTCGTCTCATCTTCAGAGTCTGACCAAATCGGCTGTCGGTCAAATGTGATCTTAAAAGTGTCCATTTTCTGCAAAGTAAGAAGTAAAAACGTTCAAATGGCTTGAGCGTCTCCTACAGCTGTCACAGTCGTTGCTTAGCTCAGCGGAGTGATACGGTTAGACGGTTAGAAGGCTTCTCAACCAATCAGCTTGCGTGGCTGGAACTAATTGTTGTATAATAGACAGCATTGAACAGACAGCAGAGCCAGGGCTCTTAAATTAAACAGAATGATGTGGCCCCTCATCATTGCTGAAACAAGAAGAACTGGAATAAATCAGCCAGAAAGACTTGTTCAGGCTGCATATATTTATGACTTGGCAAGCAAAGCAATCACACTTAAGATGAGATCACAAATGAACTCTGACGGTGCTTAAAATGCGAACTCAGCAAAACTTCAAAGTACCAGCACTGTAGCAACACTTGGCTCTCAAGCATATTGCTTAATATTTACTTCAAATAAGTACATTTACAGGTATTTCAGCCCATTTCCTGCCTCCTGAGGTTTCTGATCACACCACTCTGCATCAAAAAGCACAGCCATGTTCACTCACTCGGTTTCATTTCTTTCATTACAGGCACTATAAACTTCTGTAGTTTGCTCTTTAGCAGGATGGAGTAATGAAATAAAGTGGAAGCATGAAGGAGCAAGAGAGGCAGTGAAACAGTAGGACTGAGGTGATTACGGCAAAGGCAGGTTTGCCTTTGCATATGAAACATCAGGGAGTCCGAGTTCCATTAATAAATAAAACACACACACATGAAAAAGCCCACAATCTTTTTGGTGGCTTATATGAACATCAATCCTAATAGAGAGATAATTATATAAGCAAAAAACCAAAAATTCTCAGCTGAAAGATTTAAAAGACGACACTGAAGAGTTTCAAGAAAAACTACTCAACATGAGAACTTGAAACGATGTGCAAGTCTACATTGATATGTGAGCCCGCCCCTAAAGAGGCAGATTTCACCAGGTCTGCTTTTGACATGCAGGTGCACAAACCATAGCAACCAAGGGGTCCAGGGCAGGAGCACCGGTGGTGGAATGCGAGGGCTTGAGATATTTGTAATACCTAACCTTAGCCAGTCAAAACTGACTCTACAGCTGCATGCAAATTATACACATGACCTTACTGCCCTATTATAAACAGTCTCCTTCAAACAGAGCACTTCACAGCCGGCACAGCGCCGGATGTCAGCCTGCCATCAGAGCAACCTTCACCATCATCAAGCCCATGAAACTGCTCTTGCCCAGGGAAGGACCAGGGGCCGTCTTAAGAAAAACCTGCGAGGGTTCTCAAGACAAACACTAAGAACTTCATAAGAATTTTCTCAAGTTCAATTCTTGAAAAAAAAATTAAGAAGATCTCAAATATTCTTTTAAGATTTAATTAAGATTTAATAAGCATTTAATCATAAAATTGCATTTTACCATGTACCAGATATACAGTGGGAGATACATCAGAAAGTGCATTAACTGTTTTGTCCTTTATTTAATGTTCACATTACCAGGCTGAAGTAACACAAATCTGATTTTTTGCCCTAATGTGACTCAGATCTGATGTTTTTAAGGCTGTGTAGACACAAATCTGATCTTTTCAAATCCGACCTGAGCCACTTTCATATGTGCTCCGGAATTCATGTGTTTTTCTTCCACTGCGCCATCATTCAGCGTTACCATGGCAGCAGCGCCGAACAGAAGTTAAAGCCTGTAACTGATGGAAAAGCAGCTCATCTCACCTTTTTCTCCTTCGTCTCGCTCTAATAATGAAGCTGAGAGCTGATCAGAGTTAATTATCTTCTCAGCGAAGCTCGTTCTGCTCGTTAGTTTGATGAACGTGATTCATTCATGTGACGTTACTGAGTTACTCATGAGGGTCATTTCAGGACGCCGGTTCGTTCACATTGATGACAGATTTTAATCGCTTACCCAAACGAGTGTGAACCATCATGTCAGAGAGATCAGATTTGAGCAAAACATCGGTTTTGAGCGTAGCTTAAAAGAAAAACATCAAACCAAGCATTCAAAAAAAAAAAAGCAAATAAAAACTGGAGGTGATGGAGGAAGAAACAGCCACCAGAAAAAAAAAATCATTGGAAAATATGCTAACTGTGGGAGAACGGATCTCCGTGATAATTTCAGACGTTGACCTTGTCAACTTGTCAAGACGAGTGTGAATCGGTCAAAGTTTTTTTTCTTAAGAATGATGTTAAAAAAACATGTAAGAAGATTTTCCTTCTTAAGACACTTTCGTGAATCCGGCCCCTGGTCCTCTATGGCATCATCTGGCAAACCTTTGAGGTGAGAAGCTCTAACAAGCACTGTGGGTCACACACTATTTGCCTTTCATCCAGGCTGGAACTAAAATTGAAAATAAAAATAGGGGGTAGGGGGTGGACCTTAGTTAAGACACATCTGGGGAGGCTTATTAAGGTGGGTTCCTGCACCTAATTATCTTCAGCGAAACCTGTTCCTTTGCTCAATGAGGCCCTAGTCGCCCGGGAATTTAGAACAGTAGCAAATTACTACTTTCCCACCAATGAAGCACCGGGAGGACGGGCAAAGCCCCACCCTACCCTGTCACTCAGCTCAGCCCTGGAGCCCTTGTCCATATAGGGCCTCCGCACGGCCTGAGGCTGGTCTGGACCCCAAGCTGGGTGGCTCTCGTCTGGGCCTCGGCGCTCTTCTTTGTCATTAAGGTGGAAGTTCGCTAGCTTCCTTTGTCTCCAATTAGTTTCTCTGAAGAGTGCAAGGACATCCTAAAGGGGTTCTGAATAATGACCATTCATCAGGTTGAAAAAAGAGAAGAGGGGAAGAGAAGTTTTACAGCGCTCCTTTGAAAACTTCAGAGACAAAGCGGTGAATCAGCTTTAACAGATGGCCTTCATGATGGTAGGCTTGTTTGGGTGAGGGGAAGGGAGGCCAGAGCTGCTTCAGGCCACAAATTCAGAGGTAGAGGGCTGGCTGGGGAGGATGTGTGTACTAGAAGGAGGGGGTGACAAGACTTCCCAGAAATACCAAGGGCAGTGAAGGGGGGGGGAGTAAAGGTATCAACCTGTACCCCACAATCTACTCAAATCAATGCCCAATATGAGCGTCCACCTCCACAAAATTTAACCAGTTAAAGAGGCTCTTTCTTTAGCTCATGAAGTTGTAGAATGCAGACACCCACAAGCCCATATTACCCAGGGTAAGGAGAAGAAAGACGAGTCTGCCAAGTTTAAAAATATTTCCTCTGTTCCATAAACTTGGCTGGGGCACAGTGAGAAATAGAGATATGACTAAAGGCTTTGAGGGATGACTGACTCATCTTCATACTATTGCAGACGGCAGATTCCATCCATAACAGCTGACTTGGTGCATTCTGGCACACATATGGCCAAATGTGGTAATCTCTGGAGAGGCTGGGTTCCAGTTTATTTTATTTATTTAATAAAATGGTTGTTCAAAATCACCAGTCGCAGAACTGAGACATCAAAGGTAACAGCAACTGAGAGCTCTAGAAACTTTTTCATAACTGCAACAACTGGGCAGTGGTTTCAGTGGGCGGCTGCATTAACTCTGTGGAACCACCAGTTGTTCCAAAACGCACTTCATCATATTGTTTACCTCGTAACTTTCATATTTCATAAGCTTCATTCAAAAGGTGGGTGTCATATGAAAGCTGTAACTGTCTTCTTTTCAGTCAAATAGATGGGTAATGTAATTTTAAAACTTTATAGCAAAAGAAGCTGAACTATTTTTTTTCGACTGAAAGTTGACCAAGTTTTCCACAAATCTGAGCTATAAACTGTGTCTTCAGTGATATGTCTTTCAGCAGTAACTTGTAAGCATATGGTATGTTTATGATCATAAAACACATTTTCTGTTAAATTGAGGGGAGCATTTACATTTATTTCATGCAGTTATTGAATAATTTGGGCATGTAAATTCAGATGGAAAAACTGAAATACACCTAGGAGCATAAGATTGAATATAAACCCTCTGAACTAAAAAGTAAACAGATTTCTGTAAAGCTGTGTGCATTTTGGACACATTTTGGTGGATCTGCACTGGATTCCTTTGCCTCCAATTAGAGTCTCCACCACAGTCAGTTCTGCAATATAAACGCTTTTGGGTAAATAAGAGTAAACAGAGGCATCTCTGTGCAGCTGCTTGCTGTTGTGTGCGGCTGGACACCCCATCTAAGGCCAGTAAAAACTCCAGGGGCTCTCTCCTGTGACAGCGCACCTGTGCCAAGCACTAGCAGGGAAAAAAATAAAAGATGGAGCTGCTTCGTGTCGCCCCTCCCCGTTACCCCCACCCCTCAAAGCACAATAAATGCTCTGGAACCAAGCCACATGAGTAAACAGAGTTTATCAGCCCCTGTAAAGTTCAAAGGAAGCATGTACCCACAACACGGGTTATGGAGCATTCAACTTATGTGACTTGATAATAAGAAAAAGATACATGTTCAAATGATTGCAGGTGCTAGTTCTCCAGCATCCTGAGCACACAATGTTGTTGGCAGTGCGCATAGGAAATTCCTAAATCTTGCGACTTACCTTGGGCAACATGGGTGTGGCCCTCTTGCTTTTCTTCTCCGAGGGGTCATCCAGCTGGTCTGGCTCAAAGGTGTAGAGTTCAGTCAGTTCATTCATGGTGAAGTGGCGCTCGATCTGCTGTTGGTCCACTACTCGGAAAGACAAGGACTGTTTGGTCACCTGCCGGTCGTAAATCTTCTCCTCCATGGTTCCCTACGGAAAAAAACAGACACCGTTAAGGCATGAAGATCCAGAAAAATGCAGCAAGGGTTCTCAAACAGTGCTGCACCTCAGAGAAAGCATCTGTAAATCAACTTCACTGACTAATTACGAAAAACCAGCACAGTTAATGCAGAGAGAATGCCTTGCTGATATCTTGCTGCTATGTTCTAAAGCATACTACAGTAGTTTGGCATTCCTCACCTGAGCCAAAACCCAGTAGACAAACACAGTCTTCACCTGGCCAAAGCGGTACACCCTGAAAACGCTCTGAATGTTGCTCTGTGCCCAGCAGTCTAAGCGCCAATCCTCAGGGTCAACGGGTGAATTAGCAGTTCTACATTAACTCCAGTGTTTAAGACCATTTATTCGGTGTTAGAACGATCAGCAGAGCTTTACTTTACTGCAGAGGAGGATTTTATTCATACCTACAAATCTAATTCTGCCGTGGAGCCGCAACAGGGCAGTAATGCCTTGCTGATATCTTGCTGCGATCTTTTCAAGCATGTCACTTTGAAGAGATTAAGGACAAGGCATCCAAAAATGTGTCCATAGATCATTTACAACTGAAGAACAACAAGGAAACTGTAGTGCCGCATTCCTCACCTGAGCCAAAAACCTGTAGACAAACACCGTCTTCACCTGGCCAAAGCGGTACACCCTGAAAATGCTCTGAATGTCATAGGATGGGTTCCACGAGGCATCGAAGATAATGACCCTGTTTGCTGCCACCAGGTTGATCCCCAGAGATCCAGCTCTTGTGGAGATGAGGAACAGACGACCCCTGCAGGGAACAGGAAGGGTTGTGATTATGGCGCACGGGGCAAGGAAATGACTTTCACTGTGTCAGTATGGCTCCTCTCTCAAAGATCTATCGCACTGGTTATCAGTAACCGCACCGCACCCAACCCCACATTTTTAAACAACTGATCAAAGACTTTAGTTGATGAAGTCCTTCATGATTTCAGTTGGCTATAGGAACTGATATACCACTATAACAAACTCGTAGCTCATTTGGATAAAAATGAGTTGATCATCATTCAAAAGATTCATGGGTTAGGTCAGGGGTCGCATCCCAAATGTAAAGAACAGCCATTTTGTCCTTTCAACAAATGTCAAACCACCTTGGGAGCCACAACATTTTACATCTACTTTACCATCTTGGCTGTAAATATGTCTTAGTATGTGCTGATGTGCCAGTGTAGACTAAAAAATATAAACAAAAACGTTGCCCTGCTTCACTTTTCTCGCATCTCCAGCAGGAAACCTTTCCGCAAAAGTAACAGTTTCTTGTAAAATGTCTCTCAACGTTAGACTTTTTATGAGGATGAAGTCAGCTTCTCATTCAACTTTTCACGTTCCTCCTTAAACGGTGATTAAGGCGCCAGAATGTAACTGCTGCACCATTTAAGGTGGAACGGGACAATTCGAACAAGAAGCTGGCGAATGAAAAACTGACTTCAGCCTCGTGACGTTTTAGTGTTTGTCAGCTTCTCGCTGCAGATTAAACGTATCAGGAAACCAGCTGGAGTGATTATAAACGCAAATAAGTTCATTCATCTCCAAATTATCAATGTTCATTTTAAATCACTCTTTTTGCTGTTTCGTTAGCTACTAGCTAGGTGAGACTGTTTTCTATGTTGCTCTGTGCCAGGCAGACTAAGCGTCAATCCTCACGGTCAAAGGGTGATTTAGCAGTTCTACATTAACTCCAGCGTTTAAGACCATTTAACTGTGTTGAACGATCAGCAGAGCTTTATTTTAGTGTAATGGAGGATTTTATTTTTTTTTTACCTACAAAGCTAATTCTGCCATAGAGCCACAACAGGGCAGTAAATGAGCCCTAAGCTCACGTAGTAGGACTGTTCCTGGAAAATGTTTTTGCTGTAAGAATAAAACCTTCAGATAAAATCTCCTCACGTTAACTTACATGGAAAGTTAAGAATGTTTTTTTTCTCCTCTCCTTTGAAAGTTAAGATTGTGGAGATACAAGGTTTTGTTCCAACAGTGACATTGTCTGTGTTTACAGGCAAAGATTTTTGCCAATCTGACTGAATACATTCTGATTACAGATTAAGACTGAGGTGTTTATTCTCACACTACTCAACAATCTGGAAAATTGCTGTTTACATGAACACCTCAAGTAATCCAATCCAAATTACGCTCGTGTGCATCACGTGAGTCCAGTCAGAGTGAGATGAGCAGCAGTGAGCAGCGCTTGTGTTTGTAATTACTTTAAAATGATGTCAGACTCAGGAAAACGTCCTTCACATGTCCTTATTAAAGGAGGCCGAGAGGAAGACGTCGTGTTCTGAGACACATAAGCTGGACGTCCGTCCCACCGCCGTCTTTTAAAGATCAGAGCAGAAACTTCGTCTCCTCTGCAGACCAGTTTCTGCTCCGCCATGTTGAACGGTATAAACTTTCACTATGACGCGACGAACATGATCAGAACGGACTTAAACTTTCCGATAGGGAATGTAATCAGATACAGGCGTTTACACGGATATTATTCTTCTATTTAACGGTTATTTACAGGATTACCCACCTCGTTTAATTGGATAGAAACTGTATTCTGAATGGCGTCAATCTGACTAGTCTGTTCTGACTGAGTTGTATACATGGACGTATTCTATTCCGATTGAGCTGTTATTAACGGATTATTAGGCTGCATGTAAACATGGCTAACATGTTTCTTTGGCAACTGCATCATCTAAATGGCTAACGCAGTGACTAAATACATTGATCCTGACATAAATCATTGCTCTCACGGCTTGGGACGATCACACTGATTGGCATTCCTATGATGCACTGGCAATAAGACGACTGATTTTTTAGCTAAAGAGCAAATGAGACGTGTAGATGAAACACTGTTTACCGAACGTTGCTGGTGTCATTGAACTCTTCAGCCCACTTCTTCCTGGTCATGGCATTAGTGGAGCCATCCAGGCGGTAGTAGTCGATGTTTCTGAACCACTTGCCTTCGCCTTCAAGAAAGAAGAATATTACTGCCGGTCAGAATCACTGCTTTATATAAGCATCACATAAAACAACAACGCAGCCACTCGGGCTGTTTATTTCGTAGAGTTTCTCACAGAAAACACGCTCCAGTCATAACACGACCAGTTGTGTTGGGAGGAGCGTGATAATCCCAGTTGGGCCAGCTGTGTTCATGTGCTTAGGGAAAGTATGCACATAGATAGGTGGCTGAGTGGAGGGTACTTGTGTTCAGCTTAATATTGTTGCCTCCTTCCACCCCTGTGTGTGTGTGTGTGTTCATAACTAACATTTCAGTATGTTTCCAATTACTCCTCTGTGATCTTTTCATTACAAATTGCAAAGCCTTAAGCAAACATTTTTCATGGAATAAAAAAAGCAAGTCAAGGTCTAATCATTTTCAAAATGAAAGCAAAAACAGCTGCTGAAGTTTAATTAGGAACATGACCTTATGCCAGAGGCTCTGTGTCTATGTGTGTAGGGGTGTGTGTGAGAGAGCTTTTAACTTAGATCTGTGTCAGATGTGCATGTAAGTATAAGATGTGCTTCTAAATTTCACCAGGCTCCTTTTAACTCATGGCCATCAAACGTAAGAGGCTATGAGGTACGAGAGATAATGTTCATTTGACCAGCGTTCCGGGACATGACCAAACAGGGTCTGGGGAAAAAACCCAGGATGTTTTTCTACTGTGAATGTTTCATTCAGGGCACATTTAAGTACTAATCTAACCAGATATTTCCCATAAACACACAATGGGATACACATAGCACACAGCTCACTGCCAAGCAGCTTGGCAAGGGAGCAGCGTGCCAATGAGAATATGTCCCATTAAAGACACGGCAGGTTTAACCGGACACCTTTTGTGCGACGTAAGGCTAGGAAACTGCATAAGCAGCAGTTCTAGCACAGTGACGACTGCATAAACAGTAATTTGTACGAGGAGTTCATGGTTCTTGCTACTGAAAGACCCACAGAGAGGTTTACGGAGCATAAAAATACATGCTGCGCAATGATTCTTCAGTATATCCCACTTCACATAAAAATGAAATCATAGACACCCAGCAGCTCTGCTATGTTTCTGTGGCGGAGAAACCAGCCAAGTCATAAATATGCAGCATGACTTCAGCATGAAATTTATAGTTATCTGAGATAAAGGAGAAGTCATTATATACACTGATCAGGCATAACATTATGACCACCTCCTTGTTTCTTTGCTCATCGTCCATTTTATCAGCTCCACTTACTATATAGGTGCACTTTGTAGTTCTACAGTTACAGACTGTAGTCCATCTGTTTCTCTGACACTTTGTTAGCCCCCTTTTACCCTGTTCTTCAGTGGTCAGGACCCCCATGGACCCTCACAGAGCAGGTACTGTTTGGGTGGTGGATCATTCTCAGCACTGAGCTAACACTGACATGGTGGTGGTGTGTTAGTGTGTGTTGCGCTGGTCTGAGTGGATCAGACACAGCAGTGCTGCTGGAGTTTTTAAAACACCTCAGTGTCACTGCTGGACTGAGAATAGTCCACCAACCAAAAATATCCAGCCAACAGCGTCCTGTGGGCAGCGTCCTGTGACCACTGATGAAGGGCTAGAGGATGACCAACACAAACTGTGCAGCAGCAGATGAGCTATCGTCTCTGACTTTACATCTACAAGGCGGACTGACAAGGTAGGAGTGTCTAATAGAGTGGACAGTGAGTGGACACAGTGTTTAAAAACTCCAGCAGCACTGCTGTGTCTGATCCACTCAGACCAGCGCAACACACACTAACACACCACCACCATGTCAGTGTTAGCTCAGTGCTGAGAATGATCCACCACCCAAATAGTACCTGCTCTGTGAGGGTCCATGGGGGTCCTGACCACTGAAGAACAGGGTAAAAGGGGGCTAACAAAGTATCAGAGAAACAGATGGACTACAGTCTGTAACTGTAGAACTACAAAGTGCACCTATATAGTAAGTGGAGCTGATAAAATGGACAATGAGCGTAGAAACAAGGAAGTGGTCATGATGTTATGCCTGATGGGTGTAAACTTCGACAAAACAAAGGGGAAGCTATGGACCCTACCTGAGCAGAACCAATGGCCTACCTTTGTATGGAGATGTTTTCCCCTCTTCTTTGGCTCTGCCTGCTAACTCTAGGAAATCCTCGATGAGGTCCAGCGAAATCAGCGACTGACTGAACACCAAACTGAAAATACAACGCCCAACAGTGAAGTTTCATATAACGATCATGACTACATTGAAGTCAAGTTGAAGAGGATAATTACTTTTCTTGGACTAGTTGGCTTAAAGTCCTTAAACTAAGGTGAACTTACACTTTATCTTCCACTTCTTCAGCCATGCGCAAGATTTCAAACAGGAGAACCATCTTTCCAGAGTGTTCCAGGACCTCAGAGTCCGCTTCGCTCACAAACTCCTTGTACCAGTCAGGAGATGGGCTGCCAGGGCCTGAGTTGCTGGGACGAACTACCGGAAAGATACAAGAACACAGAGTGTGAGGTAAAGTGTGACTGGATAAAAGGGAACATTTACAATAACACTTTATTAATCATCTAGAAAGGACCACTCTAAATAAAGTCTTGACAGATTATCAGTAACATCAACATCATCAGTGAAGTAACAGTAGTGAAGCATCTGAATACACTGAAGTAAATATCTTGTAGATGTTCTGTTCATACATTACTTACATTTATTAGATGTATTGTAAATACGGTACTTCCATTACACAAAACCTACCTAACCCTGGCCTTCATCCTAACCCAAAACCTAATCCTAATATCTTCGCTGTCCTAAGAAATCCATGTATCTTCATTTTTGTCGATTTTTTTCTACATCATTTCAACACACCAGCCGTCCTTTACATTGTGTGAAAAATTCATGATGAATGGACCAATAGAAATGCTCTAAAACCACTTGGAATAAAATCTCTTTACATTAACTTCCATTAAAAGGTAAGAGTGTTTTTGCCTTCTCCTGTAAAGTTATTATTTTGGAGATACTTGTTTTTCTTTGGACAGAGACTGTATGTTTTTGACATGTTACTGAGAGTCCAGAGTGTTTCATGTAAAAGGACCACGCAAAGTAAAGTGTCACCACATTTTCCCACTTTGCCTGAACGCTTGAGCTTGAACAGGATTGATTTTGGGCTCGTTTGAGGAAGGAGCTCATTTCAGCAGACTTGTTTTCACATTTACCTATTTTTTCTTGTAAATGTTCCTTTGGTACAAAGGATTGGTTACTGCTGAGTGTGTGAAAGGCCCTCTTGCAGGAGAACTAGGGATGTAACGACACACATTTTCAGGTTCAATATGATTTTGATTTGGAGGTCAAGATTTGAGTTCTGACTATTTTACGTTAATGTCTTACAATTTACAAGCAACATCCGAAAAAAGCCCTGCAATATGAGCATGGGTGTATGTGTGCCATAAAGCCCTCCTCTCCTCCAGCCACCCAAAATCACTAAAGCTGAAAACGGCCTTTATTTTTGACCAAATGTACAAAAATTTATGAAGCATTTTTTATATTTATTAAGTATGAAAATGCTCTAAAACAAAAACTTAAACACTAAAACCCAGAGGTGGGAACAAGTCACTACGTTGCAAGTAAGTCTCAAGTCTAGACACTCAAGTCCCAAGTCAAGAGAGTCGAGTCAGTACAGGCGAGTCTTAAGCCAAGTCCCAAGTCAATAGTCCTAATCTTCGAGTCCTAAACAAGTCAATATGCAGTTTTCAGCTAAATTAAAGCCATAACACTGAACAAAGGTAACGGTAATACGGCCTTTTAACGACGGTAGGAATAGGCTTGAAGTGATAGCCCAACTACAAGCTAGAAAACTGCAAAGGGTGAACAAATGTATGAGCTTATAACACCATCTTTATCATTCGCGCAGCAAACCTAGAGAGACGAACTCAGTAGCGTCTGTAGATCTTTGTTGTGACCGGAGAGAATTCCCAGTATGTAGGTCTGATGAACAGCTCCACAACACAAACGCTGTATGAATGGCTGTGGTGTGGGGGCTGTAGCAGTCACTGCCACCAGCACTCAGAGAGAGGCACAGAGGACTATCTGGCTTACACGATGGAGCGATACTGGACTGACTTTGGAGCGAGCGAAAACATTGATGCTCTGACTTCGTCACTCTGCTCTCATTCCGCACCGCTCGCATGCTCTGGCTCCAATTAATAAAGGTTTAAAGCAAAAAAAATAAACCCACTGTAAGACCCCCAGACGCTGCAGGTAAAATCAAACCCACCCTCTTCCACGGGCTCAGCCCTATTCCGTCCTTCTGGGTTTCCTCCCCGGGAGCTGGTGTTCCACTCCTTAATCACCTCCACGTCGTCACTGTCAGACTTGTCCGAACTCTGACTTTTGCCTCGTCCCCTTTTCTTCTTCCTGCAAGGGATTTGAGGAACATCACAATGGTCAGAATGCAGTGGACAAAGTGTTCACGCAAAGAGAGGTGAAAATATGAGACTTGCTGACTTTTTGGGCTTCTCATCCTCGGAAGTCAGGCTCATAGACGACTCCTCCGTTTCGGATGCAATGAATTCCTCCATACTGTCTTCATCAAAGTAACCCTGTTGGCAACAAACAATACTTCAGAGTATTAGAAATATTAAATTAATTCACCAGAAAAATCACATTACAGTAACAAAAAAACACAACTGTGATGTTACTGAAAGTTATTTACTTAGAAAACACTGTTTTATGACTAGTGCATTTAATCATATGATGACAGACTTGCAGTTCTTGAGAAAAGGTGAACATAATGTAATAATAACGTAATAAGTTCAATTTAAATAGCGCCTTTCTCAAACCCAAGAACGCTTTATAAAAGATCAGAAAATAACAAAACACATGATCAACAATAAATAAAACAACACACACACACACACCTCTACATTTCCAACAGCTAGCAAGGGGGATAACAGTGTACAATGTAAAGGACTTTTATTTTATTTTTATGTTTTATTTGGTTGAATACTGTGGTAGTATGTTTACTTAATAGTGTCCAATAGCCTTTAAAGGAATCATCAAAACACATTTTCAGGCACAATATAATTTTTGATTTTAATAGATTGAAGTCAATTTTGGATATTTTGGGTACTAAAACGTCCTGATTCTGCAGAGCTCTAATTATCTACCAAACAACAACAACAACAACAACAACAACAACAACAACAACACTTATTTCTATAGCGCTTTTTACAATTAGTGTTGTCTCAAAGCAGCTTTACAGAAAAGCAGTTTATGGAAGGAAAGCAGTTTATAGCAGGAAGTGTTATCAAAAGAATAAAAAGAAAATAAAAGAAAAATAAAAAGGAGTCCATGTACAGATGTAAGGAACTAAATCCAGGTCCAAGCCCCCCATGAGCGAGCCAGAGGCGACAGTGGTGAGGAGAAACTCCCTAGGAGTAAGAGGAAGAACCCTCGAGAGGAACCCAGGCTCGAGGGAGGAACCCATCCTCCTCTGGTCGACCCCGGATGAAGAGAGAATGACAGAGCTAACAAGATTTTATGATTTTATGACAAGATACAACAAAGAAGCTTAGAGCTTGAACATCTTTCAGAAATATGCTGATTAATCCAGGAGGAAATAATGTAAAGTTAGACTCACAGGGTCTCTTTCTAATATTATTATGTCTAATATTAATCCAAAGGGCTGGTGTGTTTAATTGCTTTGTCTCAGTCTTCAGCAACTGATCATGTGAGCTTCTGCTTTAATGGAATCAAAACCCACAGCCCTGTCGGATAAGACTGGACACCCCTGTACTACACAGACTGGTGCGGCTCGGACAGAACATTCTCAATGCCTGCTGCGCCAACCGCAGCCCCTAAAACTTAAGGGTGTTCAGGAACAAAAGTCCAGTCATTCGAGACGGGGTGCGTGCCATCTTGCCAGCTTTAGTTTGACGGGACGCACACAGATGCCTAGGTTTGATCACTGACCGTGATCTTTCCATGAAAGAAACCAAATGAGACCCTCAGCAGAGATCAAGGAGCATACTGAAGACAGTCTTTAAACTTCAATACACTATTTCAAATGTTTTTTCTTTTTTAATGAAACAGTTGTGCCTTTAAATCAAAGATTCACGAATGTGAAGTAGAAATGGCATGTCAATGGGTCCCGTTATCAGGCTATCATTAGAAAATGCTGGACTGGACATCTGAGTGAAACAAAGAATTAATCTGATCCAATCCTGTAACCAGTCTAGCATGAAATAGCACACATTTAGTCATGTTGGCTGTTGTTAGTGGTTATTTTTTGGTGTGGGGTGGTAAAATGTTGTGTAGCTTGAGCAGGAAAAATACTGGATATGTTACGGCCAAAACTCAAAACTCATCAGTACTGAAGAAAAAAAAACAAAAAACACACTGTACCACTTCAAAATTGGGTCGTTCTCCGTTTGGAGTGAGAATTCAGGTGGACATATTTTTGATTTCATCCCAAAACTAAAAATCATATATGGAAAAAGCGGAGCTTCATTCCAAACACTGGTGTTGTATGAATATGGTGTAACACCAGTGACTGTTACTCCAGTGACATTCTGGTTAAAACTTAGGATTCTGTAAATTGGCTGACTCACTGGTGGTCAGGTGAGCTTGTGCAACTATTTAAAATCAGTAAATCAGTAAAATTTTAATTACGCAGGCATTAAAGCACATAACTTCGTATCACTGGTGTTTTGTGCTGCCTGATAAACAAAATTATTATTAACTAAAGGAATACAGTGAAAGAGTGTGGACCCATCTTGCGTCTTGAGATGCTTCCTCTCTGATGAGCCTCGACCCAAAGAAGCAGTTTAATAGAGCTGAAAATACGGTATTAAAATGTAAAATAAGAGTCCTGATAACAGCAGTGACCAAAATCTCTGTGACAAATGAATTTTTTTTTAATAAAATGCATATTTCTTAATGTGGTATAACACTAATGATATAAACAGTAAACATGAATCTGTTTTATTCAAATTCCTAAGTTAAAAATATTGTTTTATATAAAAAACTGTTTCTCAAAAGTTGAAAATTGGTTTTGTGATGAGCTGTTTTACAGATGCAGAGCGACTACAAAACAGGATAAAACAGAAAAATAAGAGAAATCCTAAAGGAAAAGTATTCATTATTGTATTTATTCTTACATTAACTGTGTAAATGTATATACTGACTTTTGGAGCTGTGCCTAATATTTTATGCATCTTTTTTAACCCCTGCAACCTTTGTGGCATCGTTTTCCACTCTAAATTGTGAACGACCCAACTGAAGGAATATAAGGTTGCTGTCGGAAGAAAACCTCGTATCTCCATTTTTGTCGTTTTTCAGTTTTTGACAATTTGAAAATGCCTGTTGCCATTTACTTTGTGTGTAAATTTTATGATGAATGGACCAGAATGAATGACCCAAAATGACTTGGAAAAAGGTCTGGCTCCATTGACTTACATTAAAAGTAAAGTAGGTTTTCTCTTTCCCCTGTAACGTTACCCTTTTGGAGATATGAGGTTTTCTTCTGACAACAGCGACATGCTTATAACATACAACAAGAGATAAAAGGCTGTTTCTATTGATTTTTAATAAAAAAATGCAACTAAACTATTTTTTCCTGAATTGAATGAACATTTGTGATTTCATTATTGAGCAAAATGATCATGAGTCATGATCATGCAGCAGCAGCCGAAAATACAAGGTAGCTCTGAATCAAACTTGCCCTGTAGTTACATCATTCGTCTGTACTTTCCCGTTACCAGTCTGTGTGCAGAATGACTGGATATGCGCAGAAAGTGATGACTGCGGGAGAAACTCCGGCGTTTGTTTTAAGTGTGGTTGAACGGAAAGAGGTCTGTAGCTCACCAGTTGCATGTCTTTATGCCTTTACCTTGTTTTCCTTACTGATATAGTCCAGCTGGAGACACCAAGGATGGGTCCAGATTCTGCTGAGCATCTGGAAATCCTGGAAGAGTTTCGTCCCTGCGCGGCTTCTTCCCCCCTCCAAGGCAGAACCGACACCTGCTCGGAAAGAACCGGTTTAGTGCCTGCGAAGCCTCTCCCACACCATGCCACAGTTATGACCGCACACCACAGGCCTGAACAAACTAACAAGAGCCTCGAGAGCAACTTAACTGCGAATGGAGCAATTTTAATCAAACGCAAGGCCGACTTCTAAAGACGACCGAATGATTATGGGCTGTGAGGCTGTCAACCTGTATTAGGGTTGGGAGGCCATTCACTAAATTATGTCTCAGTGTAAATTATGTACGGTAGAGACCCCACGGACACCCGTCATTACACATTTTACTAGAACTTGGGTTTTAATTATCATACAGACAATTACAAAGCAAGCTTGAAATTAGCTCTGGTTTCTTCCCAGCACAGCAACAGAAAAACAAGCCTTTCATCCAAGTAACATTTTGCTAGATAACAAATACCTTCTCGTCAAAGAAATCCAAGATTGTTTTGATTTGACCAATATTTGAAGTGTTTAGTGTTTTCTAAATGGGCAGAACATTTAGGAGAAACTGGGCTACTGAGCTAAAACATCTTTATTTGATTCAGCTGTAGGAGACGCTCAAGCCGTTTGAACGTTGGACACTTAAGATCATATCTGACCGACAGCCGATTTGGTCAGACTCTGAAGATGAGATGACACTAAATTCCCAAACTGTCATCACCACTGAGCAGCTTTTCAGTCGGCAGCTGTGACAGAAGAACAGCTAAACAACCTGGAATCAGCCAGAAATGAACCCAACACCATTCGCCAAACTAAATGGGCTGTAAGATGCTTTACAGACTGGCTGGAACAAAACAACATTAATACTGATCTGGCAGAAACTGACAAAACTGAGCTGAACTTGATATTGCGGCAGTTTTATGGCTCAGTCTGATTTGGTCAGACTCTGAAGATCAGACTACACGTTTGGCGAATGGTGTTGGGTTCATTTCTGGCTGATTCCAGGTTGTTTAGCTGTTCTTCTGTCACAGCTGCCGACTGAAAAGCTGCCCAGTGGTGATGACAGTTTGGGAATTTAGTGTAGGGAGCTGGAGAACGAACTGCCGGCTGTGCATTGAGTGGGCGGAGCTTAAAAATATTAAACGCCACGTTCACGGCCCAGTTTATTAATTTATTACTTTATTTATTAAACTGTTGTATAAAAGCAATAGAACACTCGAGGAGCGTGTTATCACCAATAGATCATCACAGCCGTGATGTTATTTCAAGATAACACACTGCCTCTGTGTTCTATTGCTTAAAATAAAATTACATACATATCTGTACTTTAGTGACAGAGAACAATTTTCTTTAATCAAATCACAACAAACATTACAGAAATTTACAACACAACAACCTGAGCTAAAGCAAAGACAGCAGACTTGACTTAGTTCTAACAATTCGATAGCAGTGGATTAGTTTAACATAAAAAGCTCCTTAATAATTCAAAGGTTATACAAGCTAGATTTGGCTTCTATTCTGGATCTTATTTAACCACAATTTTACCAACATGTCTGCTGCATTTTAGAAAGCTCTCATACTTATGATTACAAATCCACAGAGCACCAAAAATTAGCCAGCAGATTTTTTGTTTATAGTACCACAGAACAGAAATTCCAAGTTTTATTACTCAAACTAGACAAACGCAACTACTGCTGAACAAAAAGACCAAAGGAATTTAATAAAAACAGTAGTTAACATTATTCCCAGTTCCTTTGTTCCTTCTCGCAGACCTGCATTCACCCAGCCACACCAGCTAATAAATTCCATGGAACTAGCTTCCTAAACGACTGCTAAAGGTCTGAATGCACAAATTTTACATCTCCACAAAGCTAACATCTCCAGGCCATCTTCCATACACGGTAAACCACTTCTGTTAAATAACAGCCCTCATGAGTCGCAGGTTCACCTCAGAAATGGTTTACGACCCTTATGAGTACACAGGTCAGGTTAAGAGTCAAGGCTTTTACGGAAATGTGACTTTTCTGTGGTTTTGGGCCTCACCTCATCATAAAAAAATGTTTTGACTAAGGTTTCTGCCTGTTCTACCACCGTTCCTTGACTACGCACACAAATCCTCCCCCACGGGTTGCGTGCCTACCTTGCATACCTACCTTTAACTGAGCAAGTAATAATTTGTTTGTGTACAAGCGTCTACCTCCCTCAAACTGAACATTTTCGGAATATTTATACAAATACCGAGATAATACCCTGAAGAGAGATGGTCTTGGCCAAAGTTACGGAGCCATAAAAGACTCAAAATGACACTCGGCTAATCCATACTGACATGAAGATATTTCAAGTTTTTCTCTCTACTGAAAAAGGAAATCTAGTCAAAGCATGGATCTCCAGTCAAAGCAAGCTTTTCCATAAAACTCCAGGTCAAACTTTCTGGGAGTCGGCTAAGCACTGGGGACAAAGAGCTGGGGGTGGGGAGGCAGAGCCTGACCAGTGGTCTTTTCCTGAGTGTGGACAGCAACCTGTGGGCCGGCACCCAGCCTCAGTAGCATAGCAGGCTCAGTGGAAAGCTGGCCTAATGAGCCTCCGACTGGAAAAATCTCCCAAAGCTCTTCATTAGAAAAAGGACGTGGGAATTTGCTCAGATAGGCCTGCGGCTCTACGCCAGCTGCCACTCAATCTCCCAGCTGCAGATCCGCTTTAGAACAAGCGCCATCTAAGCCATAACATGACTAAACCACTTATTTCAACAGTATGCCAGGGTGAAAGGGGGGGGGGTGCTTCTCTTTAGTGGCTGAAAACTTCAGCCTGTCATCTCCAAAATCCTAATTTGGGCTTTAAGCTTTGGGTATCAGTGTCTCTTAAAAAAAGCCCTTGGGCAAAGCTACTATACAACCTTATAAGCTGCTGAGGTTTGCTTGACAACGTAAAACGTGAGGTAATGTTTGGGGAATGACAACGGAAACACATCCCACTGTAATCCAGTATGAAAAAGACCTTCACCTGTAAAGTGCTCCAGATAGTATCTGTAGAGTTTGCACTGCACAGGAGTCATCCGTACCGCTAAGACGTACTCGTGTTTAGGGGGCAGGAATTTGGTCAAGGCAGTGTAGTCTCTCCTCTGTAAGGGAACACAAAAATAAGTAAGCATCGAAAATAAGGAGATGGGGGGTGGGTGTAGGTGGGGGGGTGCACACAAGGCCTCAGTGCAGAAGAGAGTAACAGTATTCAATCTGAAGCAAATGTGGAATTTGGCTGCAATCATGCAATCGCAAGACAAACTTACATTATTTGGAATAAACAACAGGGAAAGGCACAGATGCACATTTAGCAGGGTCAACAAATCAGAGACACAAACAACCAGCTGTTGGGTCCGACACCATTACTCACACTCAATTACTGAAAAGAGTATGCATGAATAAATTAATGTTGTTGTTGTTACTATTATCATTAAAGCGAACCTTTAATACACAGCAGTAACAGACCCTTTTCACAAGAAACGGAAGTGTGTAAATGCTGGTAAAACAAGTTCTGCTATTGCCTTACAGACATTTATCAACCTCAGACATACAGGCGCTCGTATCACTTCAGCCACCACAGAAAGGTGTGTCACTTTGTCTTTGTCATAGCTGCCAAGATTGAAATTAGAGGATGAGTCCAGAACTGTTGGAGAACCAAACACGCAACAATGCGGGAGTCCAAACTAAATAAAGGATATAAATGATTCGTGGAAAAACTATAAACTATAGTTACAAATAACTATAACTAAAACGGCAGATTAGCCATGTTAGCTGGGGAAACAGCTCATTAATGATAAGCTAGTTAAAGTGGCAAAAAGCTAAACACGCGCACATTCCAGCAGGGGGAGCACGGGGTCATCAGGGTCCGTAACGCCACTGTAGACGGTTCCTTGTTTGCATTTATGATCACTCAGCTGGTTTCCAGATACGTTTAATCTGAAACGAGAAACTGACAAACACTAAAAAGTCGCGAGGCTGTAGTAGCTTCTTATTCGAATTTTCCCGTTCCACCTTAAATGGTGCAGCTGTTACATTCTGGCAGCTCAGGCACCATTTAAGGTGGAACCTCCGGCACCAGTAAACGAACATCTACTCTCCGCTGAGCACTCGCTCTCTCAGATACTGGTTATTTTTGAGGGAGAAAATGAAAACTGTTCCTCTGAAAGCGGCTGCAGCAGCAACTTTAAAGCACAAACTGCACTCAGTGTAACGTTAACTTGTTAGTCAGCAGCGCTGAAATAAAGACACAGGGGTTCTTTTACTCCGAATGACAGTTTATTCCTTTATTAACTGCACAAACTCGTTTTCCTCTGCTCATCGTCAGCTGACTGACCACTGAAACTGAGATGAGGCTGTTTTCGCTTCAAGCTCTGAGCTGTACACACTCAACTCATGATTGTTGCTATTGTAATTGCTTTAGCGGAAGCGGCGTCACCTGCAACGAGAACTTCCAGCAGAAAAAATGCGAAATTTGAAACAGGCCTATTAACTAAGTAAATTGAATTAAAATGTTTAAAGACTACACGTGGCTTGTTAAGTCTAGACCCACACAACTCTGATTACTTAATTAAATCTTCAAAATAATGGTTAGGTTGCTTCATTACTACTGCAATCACAAGAAGAGACGCAGACTTACTTGGACGCATCCAGCTAACATCTCATAAAGGATGTGGGCACGTTTCTTCATGATGCGCACGTCGACCAGCGTGGAGTCCGCGCACTGGCCGTTCTGGATGGGGTTGATGAAGCGATTCCTGAACTCCTTCACTGAGCCCAGCAAGTTCTCCTTGATGAAGTTTACCATGCAGTGGTCTGATTAAGGAAACAAGGTCAGAAGAGATTTGAGCAACATCAGTTGAACTCCAGCCCAAAAGGTCCAAAATACCAGATGGTCTAGTGCTTTTAATACTTCTGTTACACCTCTATATAGGGGTTGACCAAATATGCTTTCAGAGCCAATACCAATACCGATTATTAGCAATTAGGGATAGTGATAACCGATATCTGGGGCCAATATTCATTTACCATAAATTTGATGATTGTAGTGTGAAAATTTACAAGAATGCAACTCTTACTCACAACTTGCATGAAACAAAATTCAGAATATTATGCCAAATAAAGTGCTTTGAGCTTTAGACAGTACAAGCTGCAAAAAATCTAACTTAAAACATTTTTAATTTATCTTTAAATAGATAAAAATAAATGCACAGCCTTCAACGATGTATGTTAGTGACTTTTGTAAGAAACATGAAGCTCAAAAACTTTCAATTCAAAACATTACAAATACATTATATTTACTTTACTTATCTTTTTCACATAAAAAAAATACGAAGTATGAGTCACTGACAGTGTTGAAAGGGGCGGAGTTTGCTTTTTCAGTGTATGGGCTCAAGCGACAAAGTCTAGATACAGCCTAAAAACTGTAACTAACCAACACTGAGGGTATATGAATGATAATGTTTATTTCACTTTGTTGTTCAACCAAAAGCTGCATGCACTGCTTCATTCCCACCCGTATCTCTCACATAAACGAAAAGCATGTCTGATTGGATTTACTTGACAGGGGCGGGACATAGGCTACGTTCACATTACCAGGCTGAAGTGGCACAAATCCGATTTTTTGCCCTAATGTGACTCAGATCTGACGTTTTCAGGGCTGTGTGGACACAAATCTGATCTTTTCAAATCAGGCCTGAGCCACTTTCATATGTGGTCCTAGATCGGATACGTATCCGATTCGTGGCCGTGCGACCTTAATGCGATGCTCAGATCTGAATTTTTCTCCACTGCGCCATCATTCAGCGTTACCATGGCAGCAGCGCCGAACAGAAGTTAAAGCCTGTAAACGGTGGAAAAGCAGCTCATCTCACCTTTTTCTCCTTCGTCTCGCTCTAATAATGAAGCTGAGAGCTGATCAGAGTTAATTATCTTCTCAGCGAAGCTCGTTCTGCTCGTTAGTTTGTGCTGATGATGAACGTGATTCATTCACGTGACGTTACTGAGTAGGATGAGCTCATGAGGGTCATTTCAGGACACCAGTTGGTCACATTAATGACAGACTTGAGTCACTTACCCAAACGAGTGTGAACCATCATGCCAGAGAGATCGGATCTGAGCAAAAAATCGGATTTGAGCAATGAGGCTTGTAATGTGAACGTAGCCATAGAGACAGAAGTGCTGGTTGGTTGAACTCAGTGCATTATTCACATTTCAAGCAATCCAATAATGCTGTGGGTGGGTCATCGGGCCAAACTACAAAAGAGTTTTTTTTGTTTTTTTTTTTAAATAAATATAGATAATGGTTCAAATGCATTGCTTTCGATGATGCCAAATAATCATAAATTATGATAACATTCATTACGCAAGCAAAAAACTGTTTTGTGTATTGTTTTTGTTTGTATACATCCACTGTGTAAACAGTCCCTCTAATCACATTTATGTATTCAATGATTTTACGGTTTTTGTTGTTTTGTTTGTATGTTTTTAAATCAAGGCCAAATATTCAAATCATGGTAAAATTTGACATCCTGAGGCACTGTAACAAACAAACTGTTATCAGGACCTTGAAGACACATTAAGGCTACTATTCTACAAGACATCAGTTGTTCATTTCAACCAAAGCAAATATTTACAGACATTCAGGACAGAACGATGTTTCTAACGAGCACAACAGCCGTGAGAAAAGGCCGCCACTCACACTCGATCAGGTTGTTCTGAAGCGGCGTCCCCGTCAGCACCACTCTTCGTCGAGTCTTAATGGAGTTCATGGCTTTAGACACGGCCGAGGCTTCGTTCTTCAATACGTGACCCTCGTCACAAATAACAAAGTCTGGACCTGCAATGATGCGTTGCAAAAAAACAGGGGGAAAGTCTGGATCATGTTACAAAAACCCATGAAACTCATTTTGGAACATCAACACAATCTTTGCAGTGGTGTTCCTGCACAGAATTAGCAACCATAAAAAACTACAGTCTGGTTTGTCTCCAGGAAACATGGCTGCTTCCAGCACTTTTCCTCAGAGATCATACTTTACCTGGATCAACGAGCGTTTTCTGGAATGCTTCTTTCAGCTTTTTGCTCTTGATGTTGCGGCCCTGCGTGAGATTACGGTACATTTCGTAGCCGATGATCATGACGCCGCCGTCCTCCTGCCATCGCTGCAGCGCGTAGGCTCGTTCCTGAGGCCTCTTCACTGTGGCTAATTCGGTCACCTGACATGCAAAACGCACTGTGAGCACAAAGCAACAGCGTCCTCATCCTGAGTCTGCTAACATAATGAAGGAATGCCACGGTTGTTACTTTAGCAAATCCTATTTTCTGAGGAAAAGCCCAATTTGGCTGTCCACAATGCTACGACATTGACAAATGCAGAGATCAGTTAAAATGGAAGACAGACACACTTAATTGAACAGTGAAGCGCTTAATAAAAAGGTCTTGGAGGGGAAGGGTTTCCCATATTAAGCACCTCATGTATACACACTTCATCTTGAGATACAGAGGGAACCCACTGTGCAGGTAATGAGAAATAAAGAGAAGGTCTATGCATGATACAATACCAAATCTCTACCTCTAATCTCTCTTCGTCCTTCAAGCCCTCCTGCCACTTCTCAAACTCATTGAGCCAGTTGAGGACCGTGTTGAGGGGGCACACCACCAGAGCTGTGCAGAAGTTGAGTCTCTCACAGAGAAGCATGGTGTGGAGGAATGTCACCACCTGCAGGACAAGAGAAGAACAGCAGCATGGTGGTCAAAAGGGCTGGCCCACTGGTCCACATCAGAACAGCCCATCAGCACCACTGTTTAATGAGCTGACAACCGAGGCAGAGCTCAGCCATCATTTACAGCTAAAACGAAAATAATCCACCTTTACAGTAAAATAAAGCTCTGCTGATCGTTCAACACAGTTTAACAATAAATGGTCTTAAACTCTGGAGTTAATGTAGAACTGCTAATTCACCCTTTAACCCTGAAGATCAGCGCAGCCTAGCTAGTAGCTAACGAAACGGCAAAGAGAGAGATTTAACTTGGAGACGAATGGACTTATTTGCATTTATAGCCACTCCAGCTGGTTTTCTGATACGTTTAATCTGCAATGAGAAACTGACAAACACTAAAAAGTCATGAAGCTAACATCAGCTTCTCATTCACCAGCTTCTTGTTCGAATTTCCACGTTCCCCCATTTAAGGTGGAACTGGAAAAATCAAACAAGAAGCTGGTGAATGAGAAGCGACTTCAGCCTTGTAAAAAGTCAAACCTTAAGAGACATTTTACAAGAAACTGTTCTACTTTTGTGGTTTCCTGCTGGAGATGCGAGAAAAGCAGCTATAGCTGAGCTAAAGCTTAAAGCAAAGCCAGTCTGTGTTTTTGCTTGTATTATATTTTTTAGCCTACACTAGTACATTAACACATACTGGGACAGATTTACAGCCAAGATGGTGAAACGTTACTTCAATAAAATGGACATGAAATGTCGTGGCTCCCAAGGTGGTTAGATTTCTGCTGAAACTTGACAAAATGGCTCTTCTTAACATTTGCGTTGACGACCCCTGCGCTAGACTAACTACATTATATGCTATTAGTAAACCAGAAACAATGAAAAGACAAAATAAAATGCTGGGACTAGGGGTGGGGAAAAATGATCAATTATTCTTCCCTATGAAAGACTGTATATCTATACACAGCATATCAAACAGACTTTACACAGGCTCAGTGTTACTATTTTCACAGCTATCACTAAATAAAGTCACCCGCAAACCAGCTGGCAAGAGGAAAACAAATGCAGAATCTCATAATGCACCTACGTTTAAAATCAAATTTAATGTGTAGGAAGTCAAAGGCCCTAATCTGATTAATACAATGGTTCTAGGTCTAGATACCCAACAGACTTCAAGTTAAATACTTAAAGTATTCACTATAAAACAATCTACAGAGTAAAGAATGACGTCTGAATGTCTGTTACAATCTTCAAATGTTCTTATTTGGCTAGAGCTGACATAAGTAGAATTAACACCAGTGCAGCATGTAAGTGAACATACACTACTGTTAGCCTGTCACTGACATACCGCAGGGCAGAGGCAGGAAATAGCAAAAGTATAGCAGTGCTACTTAAAAATGCAACTTACAAAAGTATAAAAAGGCAACTTATAAAAAGTAAAGGTTTCAACATTAAACACTGACATATATGCAAGTGTTCCTGCATATCGCTGTTGTCAGAAGAAAAACCTCATATCTCCAAAATGGTAAAATCTTTACTTTTATTGTATGTCAATGAGATTCGAATATCTTCTAAGTCATTTCGGGCCGTTTCTTTTGGTCCATTCTTGATGAAATTTACACACAATGTAAAGGCCAACAGGCATCAAATTATGTCAAAAACTGAAAAAACAACAAAAATGGAGATAGTTTTTCAAACAACTCTGAAATAATGTAACCTGTTTTGAGTTACTAGTTTAAACCTGTTAAATAGTGAAACAAAGGCATAATCATGCTGTGTGTGATTTACATTCGAATTCAACTAAGCTAATGCTTGTTAAGAAGATGGATAAACAGAGGAAAAAAATAGGCTACAGAGAGACGCATCAAGATGCATGAAGAATTGCTTTAAAATGACATCTTGGCACACTTAAACAAAGTCTAATGGACCTGTGAAGCGCCTACAGATTCCAACCCCTAGCTGGCACATCATTCACTGAGGAGAAAAAACTTCATCACACCCTCCACTACTAAACCACTTAGCTCTAATGAAAACTAATCAGCTAATCTGAGAGGCACCTCCGTTACTTAAGCTGAATTCAAAATCCGTCTAATGTAGTGACCGAGTCTTGTTTGCCGCAAATTTCCCTTCATGCCACTTTTTTTGCTGCTTTTTTGTCTCCTTTCTCCTGCAGCTAACAAAATACCTGTTCATTACCCTTTATGGCTACTCGAATATCACAATTAATCCCCAATAAAGAGTGAACAAAGAAAATCACGGTTGCACTGTTCCCATATGGTGGTAAAGGTCTACAGTATAAAATCAATAACAGTATAATAACAAAGAAAAACACCAGTATATTTTGTAGGAGAAGCACTAGTTTGAACAGCTTTACAACACAGTAATTAATATCCTCCACAACAGAACAACATGCAGCTTTACCTGAAGGGTTTTGCCCAGACCCATGCAGTGGGCAAGGATGCAGCCAGAGCCAGAGGACTTCTGAACCTTTTTCACAGATTCACAGCAGCAATCCCATATGAACTGTACACCTGTAGAGCAACACAAAAACAGCACATTGAGACATTTTCTATATCTATCTATCTATCTATATATATATATATGCAGACACATACGCACACACACATACATATATACACACACACACACACACACACACACACACACACACACACACACGTGTGTGTAAAAAGAACATAGGCCTAATATTCACATTTTAGAATTGTTCCTAACTAATAACTAGCCTTGGGCTACATTTACATCACAAGCCTCATTGCTCAAATCCGATTTTTGCTCAAATCCGATCTCTCTGACATGATGGTTCACACTCGTTTGGGTAAGTGACTCAAATCTGTCATTATTGTGACGAACCGGCGTCCTGAAATGACCCTCATGAACACATCCTACTCAGTAACGTCACGTGAATGAATCACGTTCATCATCAGCACAAACTAACGAGCAGAACGAGCTTCGCTGAAGATAATTAACTCTGATCAGCTCTCAGCTTCATTATTAGAGCGAGACGAAGGAGAAAAAGGTGAGATGAGCTGCTTTTCCACCATTTACAGGCTTTACATGAATTCCGATCTGAGCGTCACATTAAGCTTGAATAGCCGCGAATCGGATACGTATCCGATCTAGGAGCACATATGAAAGTGGCTCAGGTTGGATTTGAAAAGATCAGATCTGAGTCACATTAGGGCAAAAAAATCTGATTTGTGACACTTCAACCTGGTTTTATATATATATATATATATATATATATATATATATATATATAGAGAGAGAGAGAGAGAGAGAGAGAGAGAGAGAGCCAGTGACTAGTTAGGAACAGACCTAATATTCACATTTTAGTATTATGTTCTCTTCCATCTTACATTTTACTCAAATAAACGAAGAACTATGGAATAGTGAGATCAACATTAGCCTGTTACATAAAGGCTTAACACGGAAAAAAAAAATAAAAATCTGTGTCTTTCGATTTGATCATTCACTTCATTTTTTCTTTCTTCTTTCTTTTTAACACAACTTTCCAGTTTCTGAATGTAATTTAGAAATCCTGAACTGCGACACATGCCCACAGAATCTGGTCAAAAGTTCATTAAAAGACATCTACTCATTACCATTTGTTTACCATGGAACATCCTAATTAAAAATAAAGGAATTTAATCCATTTATATACACTGCTGCTGAGAGCATCAAGACTGAAGTTTTATCACAGGTAGAAAACAGTCAAAAAGACCTTAAAAACTATAATAAATGAATAAAAAATATTCAGTAATTGAGCCTTAATTAAGCAGAGAGGTTCTTCAACATCCCAAAAGAAAAAGACTTGCTGGACTGTATAGCTCTTGATAACGAGTGGCTGATTTGCAAAAATTACACCAATATTCTATCGTCTGCAAATCCCTCCTAAAGAGAACCAATTATGCTGCAAACTAAGCACCCACATCAAATTTGAACACGTTTCAACTCATTTTCGAACAACTGAACTAACAATCGCAGAAAACTGCAAAAATACTGATGAACAGTGTGAAAGAGAGCCTGATGGCAGGAACTGAATGACAGACAATGGGGGTTATCACCAGGTAGCATGTCACTCTTAAACAGAGCAAATGTATCCCCATCAAAACTGAATATATCCTACTTTTCGCACTTGCTGAGTGACATACGAGCCTGTTAGAGATCTGCATGGTCTCAAACTGATGCCAAACATTTAGCCGCACTGCCAAGCTTGACAGCAGTGCAGCCAGCAGCTCATAAAGATGTACAAGCACGATTTGTTTCCATGCCCACTGATTTTCAGGCAACAGGACAGAAAAGACACTATACTGCATCTTGACTTACCATCGACTTGGTGAGGCTTCAGCTTGGTTACTAGGTTCCTGTGGACCTGGACAAGTGGCTCCTTGGTCTCCTCATCTTCATCAAGCACCAGCTTTGTAGTAATGGGGCAAGTGACCTGCGATGACTCCTCCACCACGATGGTCTAAAGGAGTGAGAACCCATCAGTCTGAAACACGGTCTACAACACAACCCAAACAAACTTCGCTAGCTCATCGTGTGCCTACGCACCTCCCGGAGCTTTTCTCTCAGTTGCTCCCTCTCAGCAATGCGCTTCCTCCTCTCCTCTTCCTCTTTCAAGGCGTTCTGGGTCTCCGAGCGCAGCTTGTCATCCTTGAGGATCTTGCGGATCTTCTTGCGCCCCTTGGGAGTGCCCTTATCATCTCCCTCACCGTCTTCTTCCTCTCCTTCGCCTCCGCTCTGCAGAGAAAACCCGAGACGACACACTGAAACAACACTAGACAAACCCAAGATCGAACCACGCTGAACCATGACTGAACTGACCAACTGTAGAGCCCTGCATGCCGGCAACCACATGAACAGTACCTTGTCACTGGAGGAAGAGTCCTGAACCTTAATGCGTCGTCGCTTTTTTTTCTTTTCCTTCTGGTAACTCCTGTCTTTGTCAGCTTTTTTGGAAGACCTACAAGATGGGCCAGAGTGCATTCATCATTCTTTCATTACATCAAATAAATAAATAAATCTGACTGTGGGAACTTCCAATTAAACAACTCAAACTAAGGACTGCCAAAGTGGGTTCATGTGGAACTTCATGCACTACAGTTCTAAAGTTCTCACCGCGTTCTCCGCTTGTTTTTGCTGTCATCTTCATCTTCACTCACTGCGGCACTCAGCGCTGATTCGCTATCAGAATTTGAGCCCGACTGTTTGAAGTCCGAATCAGAGTCATCGCTGCCCACTGCACAAAGCAAAGTACAGACTGACCAATACGAACTACATAAAGCAGCATCAGCTCAAATTTTTGCACAAGTCAACTATAAATTAACCCCTGTGTGGTGTTCAGGTCTGTGGGACCCTTTTTCAATGTTTACCAAAAGAAAAAAAATGTGATTTATTATTATTTCAGCCTCAGATTCTTGGTCTTTGCTCATTTTCTGTGAAGAACATATAAAATAACCCATTTTCAGTGTCTTCACTCTGTTCACCCCCCACATATTTATATTACATGTGGTGTTGGGCTGAACCCACGGGGAGTAAAAGTGTGGAGGTGCTGTGTCCTTCACTCTGTTCTCCTCCTACATGGCCTGCTGTTAGTGTGTGTGTGTGTGTGTGAGGGTGGACAACATGGTCAGGCTGCTGACTGGCTACAGCTGCCAAAGGAGAACCCTACGCTGGACACTTGTGATATTTTAAACATCTAGTATTTTTACATAAATTATTATGGCTGCATCGATTTAAAAAACAATAATGGTGGATCCACCAGACCACTGAGTAACACATCAACACCACGCAAGGATTAAGTATACATGCATAAACTGTCATTATACAATGGCTGGCTTACCATATAGATTAGCAGGCAGCCTGTCCAGTAATTTATATGGTAGAAACCTAGCCCACTGATGACATCAACAATTCTTCGTATTTTCCCCAGCAAACAGAAATGGAGCAGTACAACCACAACAGCACCTTTTATTTTTATTAATTATGTCATCTTGCAGCTAAAATGTGCACCATCAATTCACATCTAGTTTTTTAAAAACATCAGATATGTACAAACATATGTTACAACTGGTAAAATGAAATTAATGAAATTAAGTTTTTGCAGCATTTCAGCATCGCTACTTAGGCTACGTTTACAGAGCAGGTAAAAGTGGCCCAAATCTGATTTTCTCACCAAATCCGATTCTTTATGTTTCGCTGTTCACATTATCTTTTAAATGTGATCTGTATGAGACATCAGTCTGAACAGATCAGCTCCTAAACTGACCCACATGCACTAAAGAACAGAGCGTCACGCTGCTTCACGGCTCATCCAGAGGTGAACAATCACGACTGCCAACGAACGCCAGTCGCTCCCGGAGGATCAGCTTCATCTTCACCAGCCTCACAGGAGCCATCATGAAGCTGCACTGACTGACAGCTGGGCTCATCACCCAGAATGTGTTCGAGCCGTAAAAAGGGCGCGGTCACTTCTTTGGTTCGCGTCCTCGGATTCTTTAAACTTTGCTTTCTGACTTTTAACTGTTCTTTGACGCTGCAGCCTCGTTCTCCTGCGGCCGCGCTCGGACATTTCTTTCAAAATCTCTTCAAACATGGAGTGGTGATACTGCGATAAGTCTTCTAATTTTTTTTTGGTACAGAAACATCAGGCTGAATGTTTATGAGCCTCAGCAGCACAAAATTATACCGAATGTCGAGTTGGATTGACGTAAAAGTCACATGAATTCCGATCTGGCTATTCAGACTGAGTTGCAGTGCTGCACATCAGATACGCATCAGATTTCAGTACCACATATGAAAGCGTCTCAAACTGGAACTGAAAATGTCAGATTCAGTCTGTTTTTGCTGTTCACGCTGACACACGGATAACACATCTGTGTCACACACGAAGAAAACGATTGGATTTGGACCACTTTTACCTGCTGTGTGAACAAAGCTTTTGTGTCTGCCCAGATTCTACCACTAGTCAGGCCTACATAAGCCTCCTGCAGCTGCTGTTGTGGTAGAACAAGTTGAAATACAGTAAGCCTGTGGCATGTGGAGCACAATATAGTATGAATGTTTTATTTTGCAGTGTTTATAGCTAGAATCCATTAGCACGCTGCTCGTGAATAGACTCAAAGGCTCAAAAACAGACTCAAAGTGTAAAATTGGTGTCTGTCTTCATGTGAAACTATTAATTTCGTGCCTTTTTAAAAAAATTAACGCAAGGGCAGCCTTTGACTTCGTAAACACTGACCTTTCCGTCTTCCTTTCCTTTTCACTTCTTTCTTACTCTTGGCTGGTTTTTCATCATCAGACTCGCCCTCGCTGAGCGTCAGCTTCTTGCGAAGCAAACTGTGCCTCCGTCCACCTTTCTTCACATCCACGTCTGAACCAGAGTCTGAGGTTTCCTCCTCTTCCTCTGTATGGAGAGATAAAAAAAACAGACGTTATCAACACGCAATCACCACATCTGTACATGAAGTCATAATCACGTTGAAAAAGCACACGTTCAAACAATATGTGTAAGGTGTGGACACCGCCGACACAGATGTTCTACTGTAGTCTATGTAACCTCTCTAGAAAAGCACTGAAGATAGAATGGGCTTCCTATTACTGCACTTGAGTTCAGAAGAAATGCTGGATGAGCAAGTGTCTAAACACCTTTGGACACAGTGTATATAAAATATCATGACTGCTCAGATTGGATTAAGATGTTCACATTACCAGGTTGAAGTAACACAAATCCGATTTTTTGCCCTAATGTGACTCAGATCTGATGTTTTCAGAGCTGTGTGGACACAAATCTCATCTTTTCAAATCTGACCTGAGCCACTTTCATATGTGGTCCTAGATCAGATACGTATCCGATTTGTGGCCGTGCGACCTTAATGTGACGCTCAGATCGGAATTCATGTGCTTTTTTCCACTGCGCCATCATTCAGCGTTACCATGGCAGCAGCGCCGAACAGAAGTTAAAGCCTGTAAACGGAAAAGCAGCTCATCTCACCTTTTTCTCCTTTGTCTCGCTCTAATAATGAAGCTGAGAGCTTCTCAGCGAAGCTCGTTCTGCTCGTTAGTTTGAGCTGATGATTCACGTGATACATTCTCGTGACGTTACTGAGTAGGATGAGCTCATGAGGGTCATTTCAGGACGCCGGTTCGTCACATTAATGACAGATTTGAATCACTTACCTAAACGAGTGTGAACCATCGTGTCAGAGATCGGATTTGAGCAAAAATCGGATTTGAGCAACGAGGCTTGTAATGTGAACGTAGCCTTAGAGAACCAGCCATTGAGATGACAGTTTGAAGGGCATAGAGATTTACAAATTGAGGTTCCTGACCTTTCTCTTCATCCTCCTGATCTTCATCATCATCCTTTACTTTCGATGAAGACTTTTCATCCTCTTTTTTGCCATCTTCATCTTCGGAGGAGGTGGCATCGCCAGATGAGTAATTTGCTTTGATCTGGGCTAACAGCATCTTCTTTGCAATTCTTTGGGGGCAAAGAGAGAGAGAACGGGATTAGACTAGACGAGCAAACTGTGTTTCAGTGCAGTAAACATTCAGATAACAACTTGACTGCTGCTGTTAATGAGACGGGGGGGGGAGAGAACACTGGTAATATTCCATATTCATCAATCACTCAAGCACATTGTTTAGTTATGAATGCCTCTTAATGGCAATCAATTCATCCATATATAAACTAAACCCTTGGGTTCACTACATGACTTTTAAAGTCTGAACAGGTTATAACAGACTGGGCGTCTCACACTGTCGGACTGGTTTTTTGGGCAACTGAAATATTGGGGATCCACAATAAACGATCAGACACTACTCAACTTTTAAGCTGTTACTGAACCAAACAGAACTCGCTGAATCACGAACTCTCATTACTAGGAGACGCAAATAAACAAACGTGGAGCTGCTGCTGTTTTCTCTGTCGTTTGTGCTGACAGAGCAAAGAAGCAGCAGATAAACATGTTTAAGTGGACCATGGATTTTAAAAATGTGATCAGTTGGTATTTTTAGAGTTTTTAATGTGCATAAACTCGATTGTGACTTAAACTCAGCTCATTAAAAAGCTTCGCTCCACACGTGAGAGACTTTTCTCCATTTTTCTTTGTTTATTTCCTGTATTTTCTTCTTTCGCACTCACAGTTTTCAATGGCTGTTGCAGGAGTCTGTTCAGATTGAGTCGTTGACCAGTTTACACTTGATTTCACTCAGAGTCGAGTTCAGAAATCAAACGTTTGATAAACTGACTGGTCTGAAATGCGATCGGGAGGCCAAAAATCTGAGTCCGCGCCTCTCAAACACGACTCGACTCTCTCTCCAACTGTCGACTGACCTAAAAATCTAGACTAGAGCTGACCAGGTCAAACTCAGAGAATCAGGGCTAAAATCGGGGTAAAAGTCACGTAGTGTAACCCCGGCTTAAAAATAGCTTTTTCCTCAGTAAACAAATAAACTCAAGCAGAACAGTTTTGCAAATAACCGATTCAATATTTTCACAATCTGGCAGTTTAATGTGTTTAACTGCTTAAAAGAACACGCCCACTACAAGTTGCCTACAAAAGATGCTTTGTTTTTAATCTACACTACATGGCGCTGCTGTGCACGGCACAGAAAAGCATGTCTACTGATTATAGATTATGCAAGCATTCTATCAAGATTTAACGCTTTAATCAATATTAACACAAACAAAAAACAACAGATTGAATGCCCAATGTTTCTTAACCACTTCTTAATTCTGGAGATTAAAATTTCAGCAATTCTGAACGCCACTGACAAAATTACTAATAATTAACAAACATGTGAGAAGTGGACTAACTTGTCAAAGCACAGTTATCCAAATATTACGCTACAAGCTTCAAAGAAAAATAATGCGTTTACTTATGAAACCTGTGAAGTCTGAATAACGTTGCACTCCTTGAAAAAGTCAAGGACAATCCTTGATGCAGCAGCGTGAAATACAAAAGCCTGATTACAATCTGACATCTAGAATAAAAGCTTTCCACATTCTGTCCTTCAGTTCTTCAAAGGCTCACTCAAATTTCTTTTCAACCTGTTACTCCCGGAGACATTCGTAACATGGATCAGAACTGCAGTAAGGTTGGAATGAACGTCAGAGTCACTACCATCCCACTACACCAGGAGTCGCACCCAAATGTTAAGACGAGCCAATTTTTTTTCCCCTTCAACAAAAATCAAACCACCTTGAGAGCCACAACGTTTTGTCCATTTTAATATCTTGGCGGTAAATACGTCATAGTATGTGTTCAAGTAATAGTATAGGCTAAAAATATAATATAAACAAAAACTCAGACTTTGCTCTGCTTTAAGCTTTAGCTCAGCTACAGCCGCTTTTCTCGCATCTCCAGCAGGAAACTTTTCCTCAAAGGTAGAATAGATTCTTGTAAAATATCTCAACATTCAACTTCTTGCGAGGCTGAAGTCGCTTCTCATTCACCAGCTTCTTTGTTAGTTCGATTCCGTTCCACCTTAAATGTTGCCTGAGGCGCCAGAATGTAACTGCTGCACCATTTAAGGTGGAACGGGAGAATTTGAAAGAGAAACTGACTTCAGCTTCACAGCTTCAGTTTCTCGCTGCAGAATAAATGTATCAGGAAACCAGCTGAAGTGCTTATAAATGCAAATAAGTCAGCTGAGCTCCAAATTAATGTTCGTCTTAAATTTTTCTCTTTGCCTTTTCATTAGCTAATAAGTCAGCTAGCGAGATTCTTGTCTGCGTTGCTGTGGTGATCAGTCTGTGCGCCAACCTTCAGGATTAAAGGGTGAACTAGCAGTTATAAGCTACATTAACTCCAGTGTTTAACACCATTTATTGTTAGAACGATAAGCAGATCTTCATTTTACTGCAAAGGAGGATTATTTTATCTTTACCTAATCCAATTCTGCTGTGGAGCCGCAACGGGGCAGTACGAGAGCCACATGTTGCCGACCCCTGCACTAATGCCATAAAGGATATCGTTTAACTCAGGGGTGCACCACTCAGGTCCTGGAGGGCCGGTGTCCAGCACAGTTTGGTGATTTACCTGCTCCAACACACCTGATTACATTTATCTGTTAATTGCCAGGTTAAGTGGGTATGTTTGAGCTGGGAAACCTCCAAACTGTGCCCTCCAGGACCGGAGTTGTGCACCTCTGGTTTATTTCTTTGAGGTTGGTGCAGTGCAAGAATAAATGGATTCCACCTTCCTAACCTATGGTCCAATTTGTCCACCGTCCAACACGTACCCCAGACATTAGGCTAGAGTCTTTTTCTAGGCACAGATCATTAAGCCAGTCTTCTGTTCGGTTCCTCATTCTCGTTTGCTCCATTAGCCATTGGAATGTCGATAGTATCCCATGTAACCTAAACAGCATCCCACTGAAAGAGAACAGCGCAAACACAAGACGGCCATCTAAGCTTTGAACTCTGGAACCAACAGAACTTCCAGTGCCCTCTACTTAAATCAAAGATTCCGACGTGCCTTTTTCCATGGCTCACATCTTTCAGCAGCATACGGTTCCAATAAAACCAGCTGAGCCTTCAGCTCCTCTGCTAGTGGATGGAATATGGCTCAGGTCCAGAGTCAGGCCTGATGGTACAAACTACTTTTCCCTTGTTTTACTAATGACTCACTTGCTCTGTGGTTTGTGCACGATCTCTCATCTCATATCATTAATGCAACATGAAGTGACAGGCGAGTCTTGGTGTCTTGGACTGCCTCAAGTAGTTTGAGTGATGTGTGGCTTTACCATTCTTAATAATGCTCAAGTATCTACAGGATTGGGAATTATTAATCTTTTGTAAATATGCTGATAAACATGACCGAAAGGTGTTACTTTATAGTTTTATGCAGCACCAACAGTTAAACATGTTGAGCTTAAAGTACTACTACAGCCAACCTGTAAAACATGTTTGTTACATCTGCTGTAAACATGCCTACACATGTCTGATGGTGGTGAAATAATAGTCTTGAGAGTGACATTTTCCGATTTTTGGTTTAAAGACTAAGAAAACTCCCTTCTGATGCATCTTGAAGGTGGGAGGAACCAGTTTGAGGACAGGTTGTTTGAAATGTTTGAGAACATTTTGAAACATTATGAATATCCAAAATATGATATCTGTACTTATTAGTGTCTGCATGAGCAGCGCATCTGTGGGAGTATTTGCATAACGCATGCTGGCTATTGTGGTGAGAGAACACTGGCTGTGTTTACTGGCAAAGATTTTCTCCAATCCGATTGAATCCATTCCGATTATAGATTAAGACTGAGGTGTTTTTATGCTCACTCTACTCAACAATCTGATGAAAATCTTCATTTACATGCTCACTACAAATAATCCGATCCAAAATGACGCGCATGCGCAAAGAACCGCTTAGAGTAAACGTTACCATGACAGCAAACATCACGTTTAGTCAGAGTGAGATGAGCAGCAGTGAGCAGTGCTTGTGTTTTTAACTGCTTTAAAATGATGTCAGACTCAGGAAAACGTCCTTCACATGTCCTTATTAAAGAAGGCCGAGAGGAAGACGTCGTGTTCTGAGACACATAAGCTGGACGTCCGTCCCACCGCCGTCTTTTAAAGATCAGAGCATAAACTTCGTCTCCTCTGCAGACCAGTTTCTGCTCCGCCATGTTGAACGGTATAAACTCTCACTATGACGCGACAAACATGATCAGAACGGACTTAAACTTTCTGATGGGGAATATAATCAGATACAGGCGTTTACACGGATATTATTCTTCTATTTAACGGATTATTTACAGGATTACCCACCTCGATCAGTCGGACAGAAACTGTATTGCGAATGGCCTCAATTGGACTAGTCTATTCCCATTCAGCTATAAGTTGGATTATTAGGCTGCATGTAAACGTGGCTACTAATAGACAAAAAACAAAAAAAGATAGGAAAACGAATTCTGTAAAACCAATATAGTCCAACATGACAATATATTAACAGCCAGGGTTTAGGTTGGAGTGCCCCTCTATTAGTGCCTTTGATAGAAACTCTCCAGTGTGCAAAACCAAAATTTCCGTTGCAATGAAAGAGAGCTGGATAGCGTGAACCTACGCATCTTGTAAATACTCACAGGAGAAAAGGTACTAATAATGTCATGCAAACCTGTTTTACTTCTAGGGGTGTAACAATTAACAAATTTTATAATATGGTAAGTATTGTCTTTTTTGCATCAGAATATAATATGTTCTCAGTACAGAATTAAAAAAGAGGCTTATATAACTCGTATTTTTTGTATGTATGTATTTTTTGGTAATCCCCAAATGTTATCAATTTCCACTGTTTCTAAAAGACAACAGTGCTTGTTGAAGGAATAATTGCACAAGTCATTTTCTTAGTAAACATAAACAGAAGTGCAATATCTACATAAAAGTAAACAAAACATGTAAGATGAAAGTGCTGATCCATTTAGATGGAACAGAAAATTCAAACAGGAAGGTGGCCAGCTTTCGCATCTTCATCACTACTATAACTGACATTTGGGTGATGTCTTCACAAAAGAGTCAGCATATCTGAGGCGCTAACAAGAGAATTTGATCCTCGCATTAAGCAATAGACACATTGATCTACCACTCTTTGGCCAACATTATTGTACTTGATTGAGAAACCTCACTGCGGATAATTATTTATGTTCATGATTATCACTTTTAGGAATATAATGAACTGTGTTAAACAGAACTACGGGTCATTCTACAGAAACGTCCACTTTTCTATCTCTCCATAGGAGTCACTGGTGTTACTGATCCTCATTGGTGTTCCACATAATAAAGGAACACCAGAGACAATTTAATGAAAAATGCATTTTCCCAAATGGCTGCTACAGAGCATCAAACCACATGTTGTCAGTCATGGAATACCCACTAAAATTAGCTCATCTCATGACATGAACATTGTCGTGTATTGTGACAATACAACCCTAATAACTCTCGATAACTTGTGGTCTATGTGAACATCAGCAATTTGTTTTATCCCATCATGCTTTACAATACATAAAGTCAAAGCTGATTTAAGAACAGATACAGTAACATTTATTTACTCATAAAACAGAAATCAGAGGTGGTCTATTATTGGTCTAATCCCAATATTTCACTCATCTTATTCATGGCGTGGACAGAATTCTGAGTCACAGTCATGTGTTTATAAACAATGCTATAAAATGAGAAATTTAATTATTTGCGGCACAGCATGCTTTTACATCTAACCTCTTTCTTGTGACTGATTAAAGAAGAAGAAAACACAAAAAAAACAAAAACAATAGTCCAGAAAGGCAACAGCTCAGTTACAGTGCACACAAACAATAATACTCCAAGCAGCGTCAGAGAACATAAAACACAAACAAAGAGGTTTAATCTGGACCAAGTTTAAGGAAACGTGTAAAGACAACAAGATCTGTATTTGTACAGAGCAAATTTAATAGTTTTTATAATAAACGTTACTTGTTCTGTATGTTTGTGTTTTTCATATTTTTAATACTGAGGATTTAAAACCATTTATGAATAATATTTTGGCGAAGAATGACCGGCCCTCGGGTATTCTGATAAGGTCCATTCTGCCCCCCCTTGAAAAAAGTTTGGGCACCTCTGCAATAGGATGACTAGAGAAGACTTCATACCTATTCTCAGGGTCATCGTCATCATCAACCATCGAAGAGGGCTCCTCTTTGGTTTCAGCTTCATCTCCTGGTCAAGGAATAATGACAAAGATTATCACTGTAATTTCCTTAAGGCAGACTATTAGAATAACTCTTTAAATACTGCGCAAATTGCAGCAAAGGCGCTACTGGCATCAGAAATCCGAAAGCCCAGTACAGACAGACCAACCCTTGACTGACTCAAGGAAGGAACAACTTTACTTAAATACTGTACTTAAATAACTACGAAGAATTTTACTCTCAATTTTGGACAACAGTCGTTCTATACACAACATGCTGGACTATCAGGACCATATTTTTAAAGAAAAATACTACAAAGACAACATATCAAATGTTGAAATTGAAAAAATCGTATTTTTCATTTCATAATGTGCCAAATGTTATCAGTAGTGACAGGTCTGGACTGCAGACAGGTCAGTTTAGCACCTGGACTCTTAATATGGAGCAATGCTGTTGTAATACATGCAGAATGTGGTTTGGCATCGTCTTACTGAAATAATCAAGGCCTTCCCTGAAAAAGACGTCGTCTGGATGGCAGCATATGTTGCCAAAACATGTATATATCGTTCAGCATTAATGGTGCCTTCACAGATCATGTCACCCATGCCATGTGCACTAATGCCCCCCTATACCATCATGAATACTGGCTTTTGAACTGTGCACTGATAACAAGCTGAGTGGTCTTTAGCCCAGAGGACACAGTGTCCATGATTTCCAAAAAGAATTTTTAAATGTTGATACGTCGGACCACAGGGCACTTTTCCACTTCCCCTCAGTCCATTTTAAATGAGCTCGGGCCCAGAGAAGGTGGCAGCGTTTCTGGATCCTGTTTATGTACAGTTTCTTCTTTGCATTTTAGAGTTTTAACTTGCATTTGTGGATGCAGTGATGAACTGTGTTCACAGACAGTGTTTTTCAGAAGTGTTTCTGAGCCCATGCAGTGATTTCCTCTACAGAATCATGTCTGTTTTTAATGCAGTGCCGCCTGAGGGCCCAAAGATCACGGCCAGAAAATACTGTTTTTTGGCCTTGTCCCTAACATACAGAGATTTCTCCAGATTCTCTGAATCTCTTAATGATATTATGCACCGTAGATGATGAAAAACAAAAGTTCTTTGCTGTTTTACATTGAAAAATTTGTTGCACTATTTGATGGTGCAGTCTTTCACAGAGTGGTGAACCCCTCCTCATCTTTACTTCTGAAAGACTCCGCCTCTCTGAGATACTCTTTCTATAACCAGTGAACCCAATCAACTACCAGGTGTTTTTTTTAAGCAGTTTCAACATTTAATATGTTGTCTTTGTACTATTTTCAATGAAATATACGGTTTAAATGATTAACACATCATTGCATTTTGTTTTTAATTACATTTTGCACAGCGTCCCAATGTTTTTGGAAATAGGGTTGTGTATACATTAGTATTCCCCCCCATATGTATGGTTTTATGTATGTATATGCTATCTAGTATGTCTCTGTGCAGTTTCCTTTATAATATATTTATGTAAATTTTGCATGTCGGAGTTAGAGAAACGCAGTCTTGTTCAGCTGTGCACTCCTTGATGTATAGTGTGAACAACAAAGTTCACTTTGACTCAAATCAGTTCTTAGACCCCGTTGGACCACATCTTTTTGCTTGATTTCAACTCCCAACACGAAGTACTACAGAAAAATATGGACTGTCTCAGGGTCCTGCAGGACCAGTTTGAGGCTGGTTTACTGGACAATTTAGGGATAGTAATCAGAGTTCCATCAACCCCGAAAACATAAATCCCAGCCTTTTTTGCAATTTCTCAGCTTATTCTCTGCACAGAAAATGCAGCACCTGTCCACAGTTAGACATTTACAGCAGCGAGACAATCTAAATAAATCTACATCTTTAAGATTTTTAGTCCACTCACCTGATGACTGGTGGAAAGCATCAATCCCAGCCACAACAGACTCAAGAATAGGTTTCATCTTTTGCTGATCTCCACTTTCCTCTCCAGAGTCTGCAGCCTGCCCCTCCTCTTCATCATCTTCATCATCATCATCAGAGGACGAATCTTTGGTGGTATTCCCTTTAGCTCTCTGAGAGCGCCTTACTCGCTCAAATGACCTCTTAGGGCCTTTCTTTACCACCTTCTTGCTCTCGTCCTCCTGCTTTTTGGCTCCTTTGGACGGTTTCTTATTAGTGTAAAGCTTGCTCAGACGCTTGATCTCCTTCTCAAGGTCCGAGTCGTGATTTGAGGAGTCCGATTCTTTACCTTTCTTTTTTTTAGTGACTTTTTTCTTGGCTTTGGAGGACTTTGCTCCTTGATCGGAATCTGAAGAGCTTACGTTGAGCTTGCGCTTTGCTGTCGTCCTCGCAGGAAACCGGGAAGATGACCTTTTGTTTTCGTCAGCACCGCCAACCGAAGGCTTCCCGTTGTGCTCTGCCTCCTGTTCGTCTGAACTGGCCCCCATGCCTTCAGTCCGGCGAAGGACCTCAGGGATTTCGTCAGAGTCTGAGTCAAGAGGACTGGAGGCCGGAAGCTCTAGACCGTTATCGTTTTTATCTTTTTTACCTTTTGATTCATCAGACTTACTCTTGTCCTTTCCCTCAGATGACTTGCGCAGCGGAGTAGTCTTCATTCTAGGCGATCGTCTGCTGTCTGGACCTTCGTCCGGGGACACAGCACCATCTCTCTCCTTGGACTTCGTTGCGTCTTCTCTTTCATCTCTCTTGATGGTAATTTTAAGCGGAACAGGCGTCAGCTTTACAAACAGTTTCTTACCCAAACTTTCAGAACGTTTACCAGGTTCTTCTGACTCCTCATTTGACAAGGACGCATTATCTACCTTACCGTCGTCGGCATCAGCGGTACTGCTCTCGCCCTCTTGTTTCACGCAATCTGCCAGACTCTCAACCATCTCAAAGAGCTCTTCGGGGACGGACGGTGGAATAGACACAATGTCTTTGTCAAGAGAGGTTTCACCAGCTGATGTAGAGCCATCATCACAGTCAGGTTCAACGTCACATTTGACAACCGATTCTTTGGCTTCACTTTCTTTTGACTTGTCCGCTGTATTCCCTACTGAGGGATCTGGACCTTCCTTCATTTTTACATCTGCTGAGACAGCGTCTTCACCACCCACATGATCCCCCGGAACCACTGGACTGTAGTCCATAGTGCTATCTAGTACCTCCTCCTTTTCACTAACCTGGTCAGCATGTTGCGAGTCGGGGACTGCATTATCTAGAGTCTGGCTGTCAGCAGACCCATGTGCCTCTCCATTCTGGACCTCCAGGTCTCGGAATTCTACCTCCAACGACTCTTCCAAAGCTCCGTGGACCTTTTTCAGGTCAGCCAGAACAGATTTGAATGCTTTCAAGTGCCGGTACCTGACAACACTGTCCCCACACTGGACTGACCCCTGCTGAATGAACTGTACAAACGTGGTGTTCAAGCCATTCGTCGTCTCAATCAGTTTTTTTGTCTTTTTGACAAGTTCCTTAGGAACCGCCAACATTTTGTAGGAAAAAGTAAGAGTCCCTGCTCCATCGGAATTAACATCCTTTCCGTTTACAGCCGTAGTTTGACTTTTCCCGTGCTTGTGCTTTGAATTATCGCGTTTTGCTTTGTCATTGTCTCCCTTGGGCTTTTTCTTGCTTTCTAGATTTTGCAGAACCTTCTCGCACGCTGCAACAATGTCCCGAAGAGGCTCTGGATGGCACACGTAGCAATACCACTTGCTATCTTCGTTCATGATTCCAGATAGCTCCTTTCTCCCAAGATTACGCTGAATGCATTTTTTGCAAAAGGCATTGCTGCAGTAGTCACAACAAATGAGGTTGCCTCCCTCTGCACACCACCTGAAGGATGAATTTACACACATGATGTTACACAAAATTGCCTGCGATCATCAATATCATCATAGTTACTCAGCAAAGTTGCAAAGACTATAATTACACAGAATTAAGAAGTTCTTTTCCAAATTGCACTTAGGCAAATATGCTTTTTAAATTTTCAAAAATAAAGTATTTCAGTACCACTACAGTTTTCTACATCAATCTGTCTGAAAGAGGACACAGGGCTGCAATTCATTTTCATCGTTATACATCCAGCAGAGGGCAGCATTAATCTGTACTGCCTTTTGGAGCAGGTTAAAGTGGCCCAAACCTGATTTTCTCACCAAATCTGATTTTTTTGTTTGGCTGTTCACATTATCCCTTAAAATGTGATCTGTATGCGACATCAGTCTGAACAGATGACACTCCCAAACTGACCCGCATGCGTGAAAGAAGAATGCTTCACAATCTTCCCAGTTCTTTGCCAATTCTTCACATAAGATGACTTCACTGATACTCGTGAACATTAGCAGGTTTGCTCACTGAAATTACATCCATGGCTGGTCACTGTGCTACACTGGCTACGTTCATACAGCAGGACTTTCTCACCAAATCTTTTTGTTTGGCTGTTCACAGTATCTTTTAAATGCGATCTGTGTGCGAAATCAGTCTGAACAGATCAGCTCCTAAACTGACCCACATGAGCAAAAGATCAGAGCGTCACGCTGCTTCACGGCTCATCCAGAGGTAAACAATCACAACTGCCAACGAACGCCAGTCGCTCCCGGAGGATCAGCTTCATCTTCACCAGCATCACAGGAGCCATCATGAAGCTGCACTGACTGACAGCTGGGTTCATCTCCCAGAATGTGTTCGAGCTCACTGTAAAAAGGGCGCGGTCACTTCTTTGGTTCGCGTCCTCGGATTCTTTAAACTCTGCTTTCAGACTTTTAACTGTTCTTTGACGCTGCAGCCTCGTTCTCCTGCGGCCGCGCTCGGACATTTCTTTCAAAATCTCTTCAAACACGGAGGGTTCTGGATGAGTCTCTTCTATTTTTTTAGTACAGAAAAATCAGAAAAGTAGCATTAATTCCGATCTGGCTGTTCAGAATGAATCGCACTGCCACGGATCGGACACATATTAGATTTCAGTGCCACATATGAAAGTGTCTTTAAATATGAACTGAAAATGTCAGATTCAGTGTGTTTATCTGTTCACACAGACACACATCTGTGTCACATATGAGGAAAATGATCGGACTTGGGCCACTTTTACCTGCTGTGTAAACGTAGCCTAGAATAAAAAAAAACAAAAAAAAAACTCCTATATAACCCTGATCTAGTGAGCAAGTGATATGCTTAAAGCAGCGGTTCTCCACCCCAGTCTCAGGGTCTCGCTGCCTTGTACTGTTCTTTTTTTTAATTTGGAAATGTATTCCTTGCCACAGTGCATCTTCAGCTCATGAAGGTGTTGATCAGAAGCTGATGAGGTGGCTCAGATGTGCTTTAAAAGGAGGATTTTAAGCACTGCAGGGCAGTGGTGCCTAAAGTTGACTGGACTATGAAGATCTGAGGCCTAAACTAATGTATTTTCAAATTTCAGAAAAGCAAAAGGTCCCACGCACACGCCTTGGCAAAGATGTTGCTCTACAATCATGCACTGATTCATGAACTACTCAAGCTGTGTTCCAATTCAGGGGCTGCATCTTTTGGAGGCTGCATTTGAAGACCGATTGAGTCACTAGGCTGTCTCATTTCAAAGACTCCTTCATATGAGGCGGAAAAATGTGTGCTTCTTTTTCATGGCAACGAAGGACCCAATGTGTTGATCCTCCCCCAGCCAATATATCCCGAAGTTCACTGCAAGCTGGCAAGGATTCGAGAACGGGCGGCATCAGTAGAGGCGCGAACAACGGCTGAAGAGACACTTTTAAATATAAGTACTGGGTTTAAACTGAGATGAAGACCTAGCGACAATCAATCAATCAATAAATAAATAAATAAATAAATATAGTCATCAGTAGCTGGTAGTGAAGCATTTCCTGCTCCAATAAATGAAAAAAATAAAACAAAAAATCAAAGTTTCTGGCTCCGTCTTTAAAGAACTTCAAAAGAACTCGACAGGTGCGTTTCGTGACACACCGGTGAGGGCGGGAACAGCGGTGCTGTGACGCTAAAAGAAAATCCGCCGTAGAGGAGAGCGTCTCATGTTGGTTCAGCATTTGCGGGTCTAATCAGCCTTCGTAGACCGCGTCCTCTGAAGGATGCAGCCCCTGAATTGGGACACACTCGCAGTGTTGTGGCGTCATCTTCAAAACAGCCCTTTCCATAGTCATTTAACCAAAAGGACTGAGGCTTTATTAATAAGTAAAAGCCATTGGTAATAATGTAACAAAGCATTTGCTTTTTAATAAAGTATATGTTTGACCGGCTGAGGTATATTAAGGTATTTAACTAAACCAAAAACAAAAAAAAGTCTGCGCAACCCCTTAACGTGGGATAAACAAAAAAATAAAAATAAAACATCACACTACCAACCTGCACTGTTCATCCATTCCATCATCATCCTTACTGATGTCATCACTCATGTAATACTTAAAACATGACTGGAAGGAAAAAAGAAAATGCAATGGTCACTTTACACTAAACGGGAAGAGTGATGATACATGTCTGCTTGAAATAAGCTCTTTGATCTACCTTGCAGATAAGAACTTTGAGAGCAGGATGTTGAAAGACAGAATCCCTCTGAAAATGATTGACCTGCTTTCCACACGCAGTGCAGTTCACAATCTCCTGAAGGTGTTCATCTGGACAAAGGACAAAAACAAAAATCTCACAATGCTACGTTGTGGGCCAGGAAAGCAAAACGCTAAAATGATCAAAAATAATCTTTTTATATAAATAATGTTCATTTGAAATATATTATTCTGTTCTTCAGCTCAGTATTGGGCATTAGCTTTGAGCAGTTTCTACTTCGGCACGGTAAGTAGGAACCTTTTCTTTGCCAAAAGGTCAGGAAGAAGGAGTCTGTCATTCAGAAGTAATTGCACAAATCACCATGATGGAAAAGCAGCAGTCTATTTTCAGTGCTGAAATTATGAATAGAAAAAAAGGCCTTTAAAGCAGATTATGATTCAGATTTTTACGTATACTTATTTTTCAGGTGACCCTTGTGTTTCAGGATTATAGCTGGAATATCTGGTTAGCAAAGTGCCATTCGATTCGTCTTCTTTTTTTTTTAAGCTAAGTCAAAGAATGTGTGCTCACTTTTTAAGTTACTGTTTTGTCCCACTAAATGTCTCTTAGGCATTCTGGTAAAATGTGCTGTTTGCAGCTGTCAGTACAGCCAAGTGAAGACAAAATCATGGTAAGAACAGCAATGTTACAATCATAAATAGCACAGAGCTTCAGCAGACAGGAGAATGTGGCTTCATAATGACTCCTTGAAAAAGCCCAGTTGGTATAGTTGAAATCTGCACCCATAAAATGCAGCCAAATGATGAACTGCTAGACGAACATCACTGTTCGCTCCTCACAGACTCGCTTTAACTGGTTACACCGATCAGGCATCACATTATGACCACCTCCTTGTTTCTATGCTCACTGTCCATTTTATCAGCTCCACTTACTGTATAGGTGCACTTTGTAGTTCTACAGTTACAGACTGTAGTCCATCTGTTTCTCTGATACTTTGTTAGCCCCCTTTTACCCTGTTCTTCAGTGGTCAGGACCCCCATGGACCCCCACAGAGCAGGTACTATTTGGGTGGTGGATCATTCTCAGCACTGCAGTAACACTGACGTGGTGGTGGTGTGTTAGTGTGTGTTGTGCTGGTACAAGTGGATCAGACACAGCAGTGCTGCTGGAGTTTTTAAACACTCTGTCCATTCACTGTCCACTCTATCTCCTACCTTGTCAGTCCACCTTGTAGCCGTAAAGTCAGAGACGATAGCTCATCTGCTGCTGCACAGTTTGTGTTGGTCATCCTCTAGTCCTTCATCAGTGGTCACAGGACGCCGTTGGCTGGATATTTTTGGTTGGTGGACTATTCTCAGTCCAGCAGTGACACTGAGGTGTTTAAAAACTCCAGCAGCACTGCTGTGTCTGATCCACTCGTACCAGCACAACACACACTAACACACCACCACCACGTCAGTGTTACTGCAGTGCTGAGAATGATCCACCCAAACAGAACCTGCTCTGTGAGGGTCCATGGGGGTCCTGACCACTGAAGAACAGGGTAAAAGGGGGCTAACAAAGTATCAGAGAAACAGATGGACTACAGTCTGTAACTGTAGAACTACAAAGTGCACCTATATAGTAAGTGGAGCTGATAAAATGGACAATGAGCGTAGAAACAAGGACATAATGTTATGCCTGATCGTTGTATACATTACATTCTATTTATAACTGAATTCTGCCCTCACTAGTGGGTTGAGCAGGTAGCAGAAAGTTAACCAACAGACTTCAAGCCTTTAACTAAAGCGTTATTTAAAAATTGAGACATAAAGTAAACAACGTCATTTAAATACCTGTCTAACAACCTAAAAATGCCTGTATACTAACATTGCTAGATACCATGGTGATACAAGACGCATTATCGAAGCGCTGTACATCAAATCACTTATCATGAATAATTAGCGTGGATTTAAATAGGATCAGGTTGACAAATCAATTACAAGCATCGGCACACGAGTACTCAAGCATTCCGACATTAAAGATTATTTACATTTTTATTTATTCCCACATATCTATCATGTTAGGATGTAAGGATTCAAAGTATTGTCTGTTTACGTTTCCATAAGTAACTCAAAGCATCATGGGGTGCAAGAACAAGGTGGATACCTACTTATTTTATTTTACTTAAATAAATAATTTAGTACATCACACCAGAATAACCCTTATGTTGTCTTCATGTTTGAAAACGCTGCTTAACCCTCAGTCAAAAAATGTTTCTGTGCATTTACCCCAGCGCTGGGTTCTTTGTAGGACAATGAAAATAAAAAAATAAATAAATAAACATAACATATACACAACCTGTGATTTTCCTCCTTGCGGACTCACCAGGATGCCTCCGTGGGGTCTCATCTTTAACTTTACCCCCTCTGTTACGGAACTCTGGGCCTCTGAAGTCATCTTTCCCTTCGTTATTGACAGGTTCTGGCTTCACTACCACTGTGTCTGCACAAATGAAGCAAAGCAGTGAAGGCCACACGGGCCAGAACACACTGGCTACGTATACATGCAACGATTTTTGCCAATCTGATTGAATACATTCCGCTTATAGATTAAGACTGAGGTGTTTTATCTCACTCTACTCAACAATCTGATGAAAATTCGTTTACATGCTCACTACAATAAATCCGATCTTAAATGACGCACATGTAGAGAACTGCTTAGTGTAGACGTTACCATGACAACCAGCATCACGTGAGTCCAGTCAGAGTGAGATGAGCAGCAGTGAGCAGCGCTTGTGTTTTTAACTGCTTTAAAATGATGTCAGACTCAGGAAAACGTCCTTCACATGTCCTTATTAAAGAAGGCCGAGAGGAAGACGTCGTGTTCTGAGACACATAAGCTGGACGTCCGTCCCACCGCCGTCTTTTAAAGACCAGAGCAGAAACTTCGTCTCCTCTGCAGACCAGTTTCTGCTCCGCCATGTTGAACGGTATAAACTCTCACTATGACGTGACGAACATGATCAGAACGGACTTAAACTTTCTGATGGGGAATGTAATCAGATACAGGCGTTTACATGGATATTATTCTTCTATTAAACTGATTATTTACAGGATTACCCACCTCGATCAGTCAGACAGAAACTGTATTCTGAATGGCCTCAATCGGACTAGACTACTCCGACTGAGGTGTTTACATGAACGTATTCTATTCCGATTGAGCTGTTAGTCAGACTATTAACGGATTATCAGGCTGCATGTAAACGTGGTTGATGTAAAAGCAACCAATGCAAGAGGACTTACCTTCTGGTAACCCATCCATGTCAAAGGTGCTGTCATTATTGTCATCTGCAGGGCAAGCCTGTTCACCCTCACTTGCAGATTCTGGCTCATGTACCTCCACATGCTTAGTCACAACAGCAGGTTTCCTAAAATTTCCAGTGAAAGAAGGAGGAGCAGGGCACTTAAAGTACAATAAGGAAAAATGTCTGGACAACAAACAAGCACCCACATGATCTCACATTTCATATGGACTGCAGACTGGCCATGCAAAATTAAATAGGCGAGAGGCCCAAAATAGCTGTTTTGTTACCTATGAATTAAACATTTGTTTCGTTCTCCAGGCCTAAATTGTGGTTCCTAAAGCGCAGCAAATGTAATAATCACCTTACTTTTGAGATGTCAAGAGAAATGACAAATAAATAAATACTAGTATCTGAAAACAGAGGTTCTAAGAGACTTCGCACCTATTTAAAACAATGTCTAGCAGACTTAATTACACTTTGTTACAATAGCATATAACACTTGTCATAAACAGATAATATAATAAAACAACTTTCATCACTTTGTGTCCTTAAAACCTGCAAAATGACATTACAAAGCCTTTAATTCCATCTAGGCACAGTGTAATTCATTAGAGATACAGCTGTCCTATATCTAGCTCAAATAAAACTCACCTCTTTGAGCGAGAAGTGGCCTTCATAACTTCAGTGGAGCAGCCCGGCTGCGGACATACACAAAAATATCCTGTAAGACTAGGGCTATATAATCAGTACGAATACTAAAGAACAGTAGAAAAGTAGTCCTTTACTAGTTTAGCCTCCCATAGAGCTTCAAGTCTAGAGTAGCACAGTATTTCATTAGAGGAACAGTGTAAATATGAGTGGACGGTCCTCCTACACTGTTAGAAATAAAGGTTCTGTTCAGGTACATTTGTCGTTCATCAAGGTACAAACAGTGTAAATGTTCCCTCAAAGCTCCAACAGTGGTTTTAAGGTCTGATTGTGAACCTTAAATAAGTTTCTCCAGGTGAAAAGTTCGTATTTGTACCTTTTCATAACCGAATGTTTTAAACAGAACAGTAAAATAAAAGCCTGGAGGCGAGACGGGGTGTGTGGAGTCAGTACAGCTTAGAACATATCATTTCAGTGGATTATGGTTCAGTTATGTTCCCTGACTAAAGGGACTGAGATGGAGCCTTGAGGGTTCCACCCCAGTGACAGTTTAGTACCTTTATTTTTATTACAGCATCAATGCAAAACCAAAAATGTGGGAAACGGCACTGAGGACACATTTACAATAGAAGGTCAATGTTTCTCTCTTACTGCAAAACAGCTGAAGCAATGTTTTTTGCATTAAATTAACTAGTTTTATTTGAACTAAATACTTTTAATTAACAATCTTTTATTTTAAACAATTTGAGTTGAATAAAACTAGTTCAATTGCTTGTTACCACATGAAGTAATCCTTTTAGGCTGAACCAACGAACCATTTTTTACAGTGTGGGGCATCTTAAATATTTAACAGAAGCTCTCTATTAATACTCATTCATTTCAGGTTGTCTGATTAAAAAAATAGCTACTTATGAACTATTTTCCAAACTGTTTTGCCCCTTGCTCCCTGCTAAAGGTGATCTAAATATTACAGCCAATAATATATGATAAAATAAAAAACTAAAATGAAAGAGACGAAGCTTCTTCTATGAAATAAAAATGAAGTGCAACCAAAAATAAACTGCTTTTTAAAAAAAGACAGGCTTATTACAGTCTGTCGTTAGTGTCATGTTTCAGTTTAGAAGCTTATTAGATCTCATCTTATTTATTTTACACGCGTAAAACGATGGTTTACTTGGTCACAGTGCAGCCATATGATGCACCAAAACTGAGCCGCTGAATTTCTTACCTTAAATCTGCTGCCCTGTAAAGCGAAGTGGGCGAAACTACAACAAACACTGATTTTTCTTCACCTTGATACTAATTTTGCATTATATCTACTACAAAAAGATCAAGGCTTATTCACTCCCAGTTAGCAGCACACAAGAAGCCCATCCCTAATAAACCATATTAAAATACTGGTGTCGTTTTGCCCCAGTATTATTCACAATCTACGGCTGGGGAGACTCATTATGCCTCACACTGTAACAGAACAGCCTACAGAATAAAGCAGTCAGCTAAATAAGTACCTTGTCCATTATTTGATCATTGATGTTTGAGTCACTGGATGCCATTTTACCTGTAAGTGAAGACAGAATAAATCTAAAACTAACATCTACAGGAATGTCGAATTTCACAAAAAACTAAGTGACACAATATGAACGGTGAAATTAAGGAGCTCTTACCACTGGAGATTTCATTAACTTGGGATGTAGCACTTTCTTCCTCTGGAGAATAATCCAGGAACTCATGAAGTTTAGTCACAAGTGTGTTCAACTTGCTGGATCTGGGAAGATTTGCAAGGTTTAAATTATAAAATGTAAACTTCCACATGTCAGAAATGCCCAAAAGATGCCAGAATTAATCCAAGAAGACTGCATATCTAAAGCAGCATAACAGTCAAGATACACCCCCCGCCATGGACCCTCACAGAGCAGGTACTATTTGGGTGGTGGATCATTCTCAGCACTGCAGTAACACTGATGTGGTGGTGGTGTGTTAGTGTGTGTTGTGCTGGTATGAGTGGATCAGACACAGCAGTGCTGCTGGAGGTTTTAAACGCCTCAGTGTCACTGCTGGACTGAGAATAGTCCACCAACCAAAAATATCCAGCCAACAGCGTCCTGTGGGCAGCGTCCTGTGACCACTGGTGAAGGACTAGAGGATGACCAACACAAACTGTGCAGCAGCAGATGAGCTATCGTCTCTGACTTTACATCTACAAGGTGGACTGACAAGGTACGAGCGGACAGTGAGTGGACAGTGTTTAAAAACTCCAGCAGCACTGCTGTGGCTGATCCACTCAGACCAGCGCAACACACACTAACACACCACCACCACGTCAGTGTTACTGCAGTGCTGAGAATGATCCACCACCCAAATAGTACCTGCTCTGTGAGGGTCCATGGGGGTCCTGACCACTGAAGAACAGGGTAAAAGGGGGCTACAAAGTATCAGAGAAACAGATGGACTACAGTCTGTAACTGTAGAACTACAAAGTGCACCTATATAGTAAGTGGAGCTGATAAAATGGACAATGGGTGTAGAAACAAGGAGGTGGTCATGATGTTATGCCTGTTCGGTGTATTTCCCACGCAGTGAAAGATCACCTCGCTCAACAACATCAGCATCAGCCAAAGCAGATTCAACATAGCTTAAATTATGTAAACGTCTCCAGCGTCTCCATTATTTGACAGGCGGCTGCTGTTAATTTGCATCCCTACAGATTTACGCTGAACGTTCCTTTGCACAAAAATTAATTAATCTGAACTAAAGGCAGGTTTGTGTTTGCCAACTCAAGTCCCGGGGTCCACATGCACCTCACTATGTCATCACATAACAATCAGATTATCAATCAAATACAAAACCGTGTAATACAGGTGGACTACTGGACTGGAGTTTGAAAACACCGCCATAGGCTAAATTAACCACTTATGCTCGTAGGTATGTTTCAGTGTTTCCATCTGAATTTACATGCCCGAATCTTAAGGCAAATTATTCGGTAACTGCATGAAATAAATGTAAATTTATTTATCTTTTGTAAAAGTTCCCCTCAAATGAACAGAAAATGTGTTTTATGATCATAAACATATTGCTATATGCTTACCATTTACTGCTGAAAGCCAAAAATCTTAGACGCTCTTCGTATTTTTTCATAAAAATAATGTTTACAGAGCAGATCACTGAAGAGACGCCATCTGTTTATAGTTTATAGCCCAGATCTGTGGAAAAATGGGTCGACTTTCAGCAGAAAAAAAAAAGTTCAGCTTCTTTTATTATAAGGGTTTAAAATTACATCACCCATCTATTTGACTGGAAAGAAGGCAGTTACAGCCTCATACGACCCCCACCTTTAGAATGTAGCTTATAAAATATGAAAGTTATGAAGAACATGAAGTGCGTTTTGGAACCACCGGTGGTCTCAAGGAGTTAAAAAGGTTAAACGACATGTATTTAGATGCTCCCAAAAATGTGCACTGTTCAGACTCACCTTTAAGCACATTCACTACAATAACACTGGCACTGGACCAAAATCTTATTATATTGGAAATGCAATATTATTTGCATTATTAAAAAGTTCACTGCAAAATTACAATCAACACCGACAGCCAGGACTCTGGGTTAAACATGAGCTATTTCAACCGAAGTATAAATAAAAAGCATATTTAAATTAAATGTATCTAGCTAGAGATGCCGACATGCGATATTTTTCATGTACATATCTGATGCTTCATTTGAATACATTCTACAAATTCAGCATGCAGAAACTGGGACTACAACTACCTGGATTAGCAGGTAGAGAATAATCTGCATATCAATAAGAGTCTGATATTGTTGAACCACACGACAATCCTTAAAGCCATCTAATCTCTGGCGATTAGACAAAATTTAAGCATGCTGCTGAACAGCATTGCCTAAAATATTTTTATTGGACTTCTGAAATATTAGAATAAATAAATAAATAAATAAATAAATAAATAAATATTACAGCTTTAGCTACTGCTTTTACACCAGCATTTCAGCACTTGAGTAGGTAGGCACACTTTAGTATTTCAAATTATTTTTTTTTATTTATTTTTTTTTTTTTACTTACTCCACCTTATGGGTGTGCGATATGGCAAAAATATATCGCAATACTTTGACATTTTCATAATACACGATATGCATCATATTTCGTTTAGAAACAGAACCTGTAGTGCCACATATTCAAAATATTACAACAATGACAGTCATTATTTGTACTATTATAGCATTTTCTACATTATACTACAGAATCTCTTTTAATAATAATTATAAAAAAATAAACCTACAACTATAATTCTCTTCCCTGCTTTACAAACTGCACTAAATCCATTTAAACAGGCCTAATTTTGCTCACCTCGTAATGACACACTTGGTCAGTGTGCTTTAAGCACTGACGACCCACACGATATACTCAGCAAAGTGTATCGTGTCGATTTATCACGACATCGGTACAGTATCGTCACGCTGCCGACCCCTACGGCTCCTTTCACTCACCTGACTCCACTCAGCAGTTCATTTCCAGACCATTAGTGAGATTAAAGCTGGTTTACAACAGCAGGAAGGCATTCATAAAACGGCAGAGAGGAACAGAGCTGTACTGATATGAGTAGCCGGGACGCCGCAGGTCGTCCTTGTTTGTTTATTGACATTTTGCGTCATCACGAGGTAACTTAGCGAGCAAACTAATGACTGAGCGCGTCTCCAATGACAGCTCTAACTATCAGCCTGCCGGTCAGCTCGCATGCGGACCAAAACAAGGGCTTTATCTGGCACCTTTTGAGCCTGCACGGCCTGGTACACCGGGCTACACTGACCTTCTGGTAAAAGGTGCAAAAACCACCATCCCGCACGGCCGCGGCGCGCGGAGGAACGCTGTGAGGAGGGCTAAGCTAATGCAGCTAACCGATTCTCGGCCAGAACCGTCATAAAGGCTCGTTCAAACAAAAACAACGTTTCCTCGTCAGTTTAAAAAACAAACAGGGCTGATGAAAGTCGAGCTTTTGTAGCTGTAAAGCCTGAGGTACCGTTACATCCTCAGGGCTGCGCAGAGAAAAAGGCCTTTGTGTTGTTTTTTTTCTGTTTCTTTCCCGCGAAAATGTCGCGGTCAGGTCAGTTCATGACGAATTAATCCGCGTTAATTCTGCTCATAACAGAGACACGAGCTGCCGCGACGGCGAGCGGTGCTGCGGAGCCGGAGCCGGTAAACTCTGCCGTTCATACCGGCAGTTACTGTTAGCGCACTTTGCTAACGCTGCGCGGAGTGATGGAGGGGCTGTGGAGTCTCGAGCCCCGCGCGCGCGCACACTCTCACTCACACACCTACCTGCAAACATCCGCGGTTACTCATTACGTGCGAAAACGGCTTAATTCTCCGTCCGTCAGCCGCAGGAAAGGTCGCTGTCGGGTTTATAACCCCGCGGCTCGGCTCGTCCTAACCGGGCTCATGCTGATTAATCTCGAGCAGCGAAGACAAAGCAAGAGCGCCATCTTGCCGGATGGCTCGAGTCGGCGTTAAAATGGCGCATCCTGCCCAAATCCGAGCGACAGCCTCGCTGGGTGGTACTAGAGCGCCCGGCGGCTATGAATGGGCATATTTCAGATTCGGAGAAGAGGAGGAGGAGGAGGAAGAGGCAGGGTGGCTGTGGTGGTGGGGGGGCACGATGAAATGCATGGATGCGTTTGTTAACCTGTGCGAGAATAACTCGCATATTCGCTGTGGTAATGAAACCAGGCGGCCCGGAGTTTAAGGGGAATTCCAGCGAATTTTTAAAAATTCTGCATTGTTTACATTTTTAAATACTTAACTCAGCCGTTCAGAGCGGTTGGAGGTGAAACGCACCGTTCTACATGAACTTATAAGTCAGAGTTGTTCAGTGGTGGTGATAGGAACCAGACGTCTGTGCAGTTTTATTCCTCTAAAAATAAAGGTTTTGCATGAATATGGTTATGAATACGTTGCCTGAAGTCTGAGACATTTTTTGTAGTTTTTGGGAGAAGGATTTGGCTTAAAATATTTTTGTCAATTCAGGGCTACCTGCAGGGTCTTGTAAGGCAAAACAGGCCCCAAAGAAGACTTATTTTTCCACTATTTTACTATAAAGTTTTTATTTATTTTTTTACATACAAACACTCAGAAAACACGTGTAAGTGTTCACTGATGGCTTCAGGTACTAAATAAAATGCCTATATTTGTGTGGTGCACAAGGGGACCCCTGGTTCCTATCACCACCACTGCAAAGAAATGTGAGCCGGTAAGTTTCTCCACAATGAGCCATTCGCATAAAACAGCTCAATGACTGTTTACATCTCAACGAAATTACTAAGAAGTGTTAAAGTTGGTGGAATTCCCTTCAGATTTCCAGGTTTCTGAAGGCTGGCGTTGCCACGGTGGAGTCCTTTACGGCCTTCCCACATTACATGCGGTGCAACTTTATATGCATTTCAGAAGCACAGCGAGGTCTAAAAGGTAGCAGCTTTGCATTTTAGGGACATAAAAAGTTCAGTCTTCGTACCAAACCGACACGGGGACACAAATAAGAAGGGAGTGAGTCTGAAGAGGCAGACAGACGGACAGTGCTGGCGGTAATGATCCAATGCAGCTGCGTAGAGGCTTCATAAAGGGCTCATAACACTATTCTCGTCACGTTTCACCAAATTACAACACGAATTCACATCTAAACAGGTATGAAATGAATACCTGTGCACAGACACATCGTGCCGGTTACTGTGTCGTGTTAAGGTAACGGTGGTCTTATAAACAAACAATCGGAACACCTCCCTGCTGGACACCTACCTGTAGTTCTTGCTGGTCATTTCTTTAACGTCTGGACCACGCAGGACGTCGGCATACTCGGAGTAAAGTTAATACTTTAATGTTTTGTCGCTGAAGGTAGGAGAGAAAAAGTGAAATGCCCACTTAAATCAGACAAAGCGAGGCGCCATCTTTCCCCGCAGCAACAGAGGCGCTGATTGGCGTATCTTGTTCGACCCGGGAGCGCGAGCTGATTGGCTGAGACGGATCAAAGAGGAAAGGCATTCCTCACTTCATCCTTCTGCTCCTTTCCTTCTTTTTGGACCCGTTTAGTTGATGATTAGGTGAAGCAAAGGTACACCCATATGGTGGGTAGGTGTAAAAAGTAAACCTCTTTATTGCAACAAAAACAATATTCATTTACACGACATGAGCACTTTTAACTTTTCTGTGGGATCACTGGAAGTTCAGGCGAAAGCTCTTCTCCTGCTCTTTGCTGCGGCTCTCGCACAACTTGGACACCTCTTCCACACGCCTTTGGAGTAGAACTGTACATTGAAAATAGTCATTAGGAACAGAAGGTTTGATAACAAACAACGCAAATGCATGGATGAAGGCCCAGTCCCATTTATTTTCACCCCTACACCTTGTTTTCGGGTGTCTCCCTCCCCTTTGGAACTGAGTTACAAGACAGTGGTTGAAATCTTCCCTCTGAAATGGGACCCTCAAATAAAAAGAGCATCACTTCATTAACAGCTACCAGCGCTGCTCTGTAGGAGACCCTGCCAGTCTGCAGTGACAGCAGAGGAGGGTAAAGTTCAGCTCCTCACTGCTGGGCTTTAGTTACATTTAGGGAATCATATGATCTTCAAAGAGGGGGGCAATTATTTATTATCACCCACCCCTAATTCTTCAGTGATATGAAGCTGAAGTCAGATATTCACCAGATTCTTATTCAAATTCTCCTGTTCCACCTTAAATGGCGCAACAGTTACATTCTGGCGCTTAAGGCGTCAGAACTGCTGGACTATTCAAGGTTGAACGGGAAATTTACTACTATTTACTACTATTACTATTAACTACTATTATTTTTTATGCTTGTTATGAAGAAAACGACCATAATACACTGAAATGACATTAAATTAAGATAATACAGTGGTTATTGTAACTTTTTAACGGAGAAAACTCACATTTATGGTTTTGTTTGGTCACTTGTGCAGCCATTGTGCTGGTTTTCCCCTCGTAACTCTCTGTTTGGAGGGTCATGTAGCCCTAACACTTCGACCTCCCCCTCTATCTCAACAAGAATCAGGACACCCTACCCCTAGACATGAACGTGCAAAACGGGATATGGCTGGGTGGTAGGGGCGAGGGGTGAAACGGGATTGGGTCGAAGTCATAAAGAGATACTAACCAGAGTTTTGCTCAACCCACTGGAGGGAGTCCATGTGCGCATTGAGGATCTTGCAGATCTGCTGGAGCTGAAATGGAAACATTTCAGAGTGAGATTTGTGTGTATTTAAGAAGGATGCATGATGATCTCAGTATCTGGCTCATCATTGGTATCGGCACATATTTGCTCAAAAATTAGACATCGGACAGATGTTTAGATTTGAGCAATATTTCAAATCTATATTTGACGTATTTATTGCACTCCGGAGGAGCAGAATGTTTAGGCCACACTGTTATTAGGACATCAAAGTGTGAAAACTGTGTGTGGGGTTATACAGGATATATGGTCTGCATAATAAAAGGTTTCCTTCACCAAATGTCTTCTACAAAATTCCAGCAGACATAAAATAATGCCTACATGTATATATTAACTGAAACATGAAGTTTGTTGACAGCACTGTGGTCCTCAGGATGAAGATTTACATACCGGGTCACTTGTGTCTGCCGGCCCATTGGATGTATTAAGGTGCTCGATGATCTCCTTTAGATCTTGGGACATTCTCTTCAGCTGAGCATCAACATTTTCTGCCAACTTATACCTTTAGAGAGACAATTATTAAAAAAAGTAGCACAAACACCACATAGAAAAGACAAAAACGTTCAAAATAGAGTGGAGGAAAGATACGTTACACATATCCAACACAAACAACAAACATGTACACAACATAGTTCTTTATATTTGCTTTCAAATGCACTTTGATAAAGCATCTGCAGGTGAACTAATCACTTACGTTCTCTCTCGCTCCTCATCAGCATTCTGCATATAAATGGTTCCACTCTGCTCCTTCACAGATTCCTCCAAAGGAGCCAGAAGATCCTCCAGCTCTTTCTGCTGGGACAGGATAAAGTCCAACTCCTGATCCAGCCTGAGGTAAAGACAGATTAAGTACAGGAGATAATCAGACAAATCTCTAATGAGTCATTGTAACTTTTATATGCATTAAAATGATCAAATTTGCAACCCAGCTCCCAAATCTCACCTTCTTTGGTCCAGCTTAACTTTCTCCATGTCCTTGTGAAGAGCTGTAATCTAAGAAAAATGGGTGAATTAACCTTAAACATATGCCGAAAAACAACACATCAGCCATGTAATGGTCATCGGTAAACCTCAAACATAACGTTGTACAGATTTGTTAAATGGTGTACTGCTAAAGGGGAACTCCACCCCAATTTTCTGAGTTTCTGCATAATTAAATCAGTAAGATGTAAACAAAGTCGTTCAGAGTGGTTTGGTGTGAAATGTGCCATTCTAGAAAAACATGCAGTGTAGGGTTGTGTATTCTGACAAATTTTGACATTCAAGTGTCTGCAAGAGTTAATAAAAGACCGTTAACCACAAGGAAGAGGAAAATACAAAACAAAACAAAAAGATCACAATAAACTGTACATTGGCTGGAATAATCTACATATTTATGTAATTTACTTATTTCTGTACTGCACATTATTTTTATTGTTTTATTATTTATCTTTATTTTCTGTTTATGCATCTGTAAACAGTGCACAGCAATACTTCTCTCCTGTTCATTTTGGTCTTGTTTTGCTCTTTACTGTGCACTTACTGTGTATTTTCCCTTTGGGATTAATAAAGTGATCTAATAATCTATCTAAACGAGCAAAACCATAACATTGTACAGTCCTGTTAAAACATAAAAGCGAAGTGTCGCTGAACTATTAGTGGGTATATTTTCTCCATCTTCTTGTGCTGAAATGGAACAAGTACCCAAACCGTGACTTCATTATTCAATTATTGTCTCCTCATACAGTGAACCAAGTACTCGAGTACCCACACACACACACACACACACACACACACACAGTCCTATTAGAGTCAGAACTGTTCACAGCAGTGGTCATGTTTAAAATGTTTAATATCTCTAAAATGCTACCTCACAGAGTTATTAAATGAAATGGTAACGAATGTGCTACCTGGAGCCTGGGCCACTGTTTTATGATAGCTTCGCAACAAGGTTTTGGTCTAAAGTAAGGGTGCAACAATTATTCGACTTAGTCGATTAAATCAACAATCAAATTAGTTGGCAACTAATTTAATAGCTGATTAGTTGATGACGTCATTACGCGTCTTTCTGGCGCGCACTAGGAATGTTTTGACACGATAGATTACTGGAGAGTTGACAAAAGCGCGATGGCAGCCTCAGGAACAAAATCCTCAGAGATGTGGGAGCTAAACTCAGAAAAAAGGTGGTCAGATGTGCTATTTGGAAAGCCGAGCTTAGCTGGCACAGGAGCACATCCTCCAGGTTGGAGCATCTGAAGAGGAAACTCATCGGCTCACTGGGTGAAGATTCATCTCAGTAAAATACGCCCTGTCCCAAACTGGGTAGCAGCTCACTATAAAGTGTGTTAACATAGCGCATATACCATTAGAAGTGCACTCATTAGTGTAGTATGTGAAGTTCAGAAGTGTGTGGTTTGGGATGCGGCGATAGCTGTGCTAGCGAGCTGGTTCACTAATGTTAATGTTAAATTCTGCACTACTTCATGTTCTGAGCTGAGCTGCAACATTTACTATTTCCAAATGCTGCTCTCTGGTATCGTTAATGGAGTTGGAACAGAGAAGCAAGTAACTATTATTCACAGTGACGCTGTTCACTTTCCAGACGTTTACAGTTTTAAACACTGCGTCGTCTTAATGTCGAGGCCACCAGTGCGTTCAAATTTGGCACCACTCGCAAGCAGTTTTACAGGGTAGTTCTCAGCGGATTTACAGGGCAGCTGGACGAAGGGTTACCATTGAAATGAAATGCTAACACAAAATCATTCATTTAACTGTTCATAGAGAACAAGTTTGCAAACATTCGCCACTTTCCCATCCGCTCCATCGGAGTGCATCTTCCCTGCAGTGGGGAGTATCTGCTCTCAGAGGAGAGCGAGACTCTCACAGGAGCATAGAGAGATGCTGACTTTTCTCCCTTTCAAAACATGTGATTGTGGAATTTAATTGCAACAGAGTGTAGACAGACAGATTTACTTGATTAAAGGAAAAATGATTCACTTTTGTTATTTTATTGCTGCTACTTTGCACATCCTAGGTTTTAAATTTTGACAGGAAAAAGATTTAGGAGTCTTGCTTTATATTTTGTATTAGAAGAAAAGTTCATTAAAACAATGAATTTTTATCTTTACTGTCTTTATTGTTAGTTAGCAAATGCATAAAACAAAAAAAAGTTACATTTCAAAGCTGCCAGCTACATAAGTGTTATTTGGAAATGTAGCAATTCACAATCTGAATAATCGACTATTCGTTTCAGTAATCGAACGATTATTCGACTATCAAATTAGTTGTTTGTTGCAGCCCTAGTCTAAAGCATATTTTTTTAAAACACACTCATGGCAGAAAGATACATTTATGGTGTCATGGCAAAATAGTACTTAAAAAAAACTTTTTTCCAAAGATTTACCACTGCGATACCATCAACAACACATAAAAACTCAGACAAGTATAGTTTCATTGGTCATTTGTATATTTTTAGCTGTTTATATGCCTGTAGATAGTTTTTTTTAAATATATTCTTCTTTAATATTGTATCACCCTTATTATTATTATTATTATTATAACTGTGCTGTGTGACTGATACTGGCTGCTAAGTTTCCTTCGGGATCAATAAAGTACCCGTCCACCTACCCGTCTACTTACCTATTTATTTTGAATGGTTAACAAAATGGCTAAATTTGGGTTCCCATCACCATCACTGCAAAGAAATCTCTACTGGTACATTTCTCTGAAATGCACCATTTCATATCAAAC